AAAGTGGAGTAAAATAATAACATAACGGCTAAACTGGAAGCAGGACAGCGCAGCCCAATATTTTACGATAATTTTGAGCTAATGATGACAATTATTGCAATTTGTGTCCTTATTTTCCTTTAAAATACGTTTTTAGGCACCTAGTTACCTGGTGCGCACTTACAACTTTACAAGCACGATAAAGATTTTAAAAAGGTGCACAATCAGGTAAATGCGCAATGTTTTTAGAAATAAAAATTATACGTTATCAGAATTGTGCCAATACTCAAAAAGTGACGTCATGCGAGAGTCGCAAGATATGCAAAAATGCGAATGCAAAAGAACCGGTTCTCCAACAAAAATACTAAATTCTAAGTGTAAACCAAGTTAACAACAAATAAAATAAGTTAACAAAATAATTTCCAGTTTTAAAACCGGTTCAGTGCTGAACTTGATGTCTGGCCCGTAAGATTAGTAATGAAATACACACTTAGTGTAGGCGGGGGATCATATGTCGCACTCAACAATAAGTGGGATTACTGCATATTTCCAAACTACCTTATCGGACATGTTGCGTAAACGGACATAAAAAACGCTCGAAAGCATTCATTTAATGTATTTAATTTAACTACCTTGTCGGACTTTATTTGAACAGACACTTAAATGAATGCTAGGGCTTCCAGCGTCTGATAAATGTCCGTTCACACAAAGTCCAATAAGGTAATATATTATGTCCAGAAAAGATTAACGACCCATGAAGAATATTCAATGAAAAAAGTTAAACTTTATAGGATTCACTCCATTAATAACAGCTGTGGAGAGGGCACTTATAATACCCTACTCAATGTCGCTGACTTTCTAGTTTCGACACAATTAATAACGTCACCTGGATAGAATAACCGATGTTATGATTACGGTAATATAAATAAATTTTGGTAAATTTTCCGAGAGCAGCTGCTAAATTAAAGTTATAATAACAAACAGTTGCTGTGGCGAAAACGAAAATTCAAGGTACTACAGGCTTACAGGCACGGAAGCTATTGCTAAGTAACGAAGTTACTTTTATATTATATGAGCCGAGGTGACGCAATCACAAATCGATAAGAGTATGTTCACAAAATTTCAAAACATATTTAAATAATTACATTACCCTGGTCACCATAAACAATTTGATCAACCTTTAAAGCTAGAAATAAAATTTCTATTAATGTTTAGAAAATGGTAAAACTACTACAAACCATGAAGATATTTAGCGTTGCGCTGTGTGTGTTATCTTTCAGATGCTGAAACAATTCAGCCTTGCAACCAATGGATTGGCTGCCTTTTAATATTGCGACATAAATTAATCTGACAGTTTATCTAACAATTTCAAACAATGGTGACTGGTATCACCTTTCAAGGCAAAAAATGTGGTTCTAAAAAGGTACAAGATTTTCCATAAAACTCAAGCATACTGCCTCTTATCTCACGATTTCCAAAATCTTATTAAGACACATAGACATTAAATCGTGATGTCATATAATGTTAAAATATAATGTTAAAATTCACTGTAGACTGCTTACTGCATACTGCACAGTATAATGGTAAAACAATGTGAATGATATAGAATGATAATTACGGTTAGATTGGCATACATTATTTCTGCACATCGGATAATGTCAATGCTAGGATTAAAAAAGTGGCCACAGGTGGCTTGCCTTGCTGTTTTATTGGATTATTCATTAAGCAAAAACGTAAACAAATACTTTGCCAAAACAGAACTTTACTTCTACTGGGGTTACATAATTATTAATTGAGTAGCAATAATTTAGTGTTGTCATACGTCATGACGTATGGTAACTGCTTTAAAAGTAACCAGGACATGCGTGACCTCTCTTGCAGTTGCCAAGTCTTATTATATATATTATGACGCAATGAAACTACCGGACTGCGATGTATGGGGACTTGCCACCCCATGGCAACATTAAAATATATCGACTCTGTTACATCGTTTCCTGTTAGTATAAAACTCCGTTACAAAATGAACTAGGATCTGGCAATACTACACCTTAGATCAATAAAATATGATATAATAATGTATAACTGTTAACTAGACTTAAATATATAACATTGATGATCGTCAATATTACTAGTAGTAGTACCATCAGATTATTTTTTAGAATATTATATTGATGCGATGGTCTGTTTTAACCATTTAAAACCCCCCTGTTTTATTTTAACATTAAATTCATGTTTTAAACTGCACATATTGTATATATATATATATATATACAATATGTGCGTATATATACAATATGTGCAGTTACAGACTATTATATATGATATATAAATTTATATAAACTGATTGTAAAAAGTTCTGTTTTACTTTAAAAGTTTAGTTTCACTATGAGGAATGAGCAATGATCAGCACTACATTTACATTTTACAACTCAGAACAAAATAAAGAGAATATCACACAACAGGGCTATAACAGTGGAATGAGGACTGTAACGCATGGAATAAGTCGCCCAAATTACAAACTGCACTTTAATACGCACTTCAATGTGAAGTCTGATGATAAATCTTAGCGCAATTTTCAAAGTTGACTATGCTGATGGCTTTAATTTAAACTCGATTGAGGTACTGAAAGCTAGATTACCAAGAAAGTTTTGATAAACGGAAAATCGTTTAGATTATTAACGTGATACATAACGTGATGTTAAGAGTGCACAAGTGTAAGGGGGGGGGGGGGGGGGGGGGGGTGTCATGTCCGTCTATGTCCGCCTATGTCCTGTCCTTTTTGGATTCTATGAGACAACGGACGTGTTTTTTGGGACATTGGCGGACACGGACGGACATTGGCGGACTCGGACGGACATTGGCGGACTCGGACGGACATTGGCGGACTCGGACGGACATTGGCGGACCCGGACGGACATGGATGGACATTGGTGGACATTAGCGGACATTGGTGGACATTAGCGGACAAACATTTTGAGGACTGAAGAGTACTGAAGAGTACTGAGGAGGATGGCTGAGGAGGATGGCTGAGGAGGATGGCTGAGGAGGATGACTGAGGAGGATGACTGAGGAGGATGACTGAGAGAGAGGAGAAGGATCAGGAAGACCCAGGAGGAGGAGGAGGAGGAGGACCCAGGAGGACCTAGGAGGAGGAGGATGAGAACTGAGGAGGATGACTCAGGAGGAGGAGGACTCAGGAGGAGGACTGAGGAGGACTGAGAAGGAGGAGGACTGAGGAGGATGGCTGAGGAGGATGGCTGAGGAGGATGACTCATCAGTCCTCAACAGTTCTCCTTCTCCCCGGTCCTCCTCCTCCTCCTGGGGCCTTTTCCTGGGTCCTCCTCCTGGGTCCTCCTCCTCCTGGGTCCTCCTCCTCCTGGGTCCTCCTTCTCCTCCTCAGAGGAGGACTGACGATGACTGAGAAGGAGGAGGACTGAGGAGTACTGAGGAGGATGGCTGAGGAGGATGGCTGGGGAGGATGGCTGAGGAGGATGACTGAGGAGGATGACTGAGGAGGATGACTGAGAGGGAGGAGGACTCAGGAGGAGGACTCAGAAGGAAGAGGAGGAGGACTCAGGAGGAGGACTTAGGAGAAATGAGAAGGAGGACTGAGGAGAACTGAGGAGGAGGAGGAGGAGGAGGACTGAGGAGGACTGAGGAGGATGGCTGAGGAGGATGACTAAGAGGGAAGAGGAGGAGGAGGAGGAGGACTGAAGAGGACTGAGAAGGAGGAGGAGGAGGACTGAATAGGAGGAGGAGGAGGGGGACTGGGGGAGGACTGAGGAGGAGGATGGAGGACTGAGGAGAAGGATGAGGAGGAGGACTAAGGAGGACTGAGGACTGAGGAGGAAGAGGAGGAGGATGAAGAGGAGGAGGAGGACCCAGGAGGAGGACCCAGGAGGAGGACTCAGGAGAAGGAGGAGGACTGGGGAGGAGGAGGACTGATGAGGAGGACTGAGGACGAGGAGGAGGAGTAGGAGGAGGACTGAGGAGGGGAGGAGGAAGAGGACTGAGGAAGATCAGGAAGACCCAGGGGGAGGAGGAGGAAAAGTAGGAGGAGGAAGCATCTAAATGTTATTTCCATTTTTGTCCGTTTTTGTCCATTTTTGTCCGTTTTTGTCCGCTCTATTTTTTGTCCGTTTTGAAAATATAGGGTACCGAACGGACAAAAAACATGATCCCCCTATAACAGCAAAAATTGAACATTTTATTAAGCAATTTAGGTGTCCATTAATGTCCGCCTATGTCTGCCTATGTCCGCCTATGTCCGCCTATGTCCGTCTATGTCCGCCTATGTCCTGTCCTTTTTGGATTCTATGAGACAAGCGGACATAGACGGACGTGACGCCCCCCCCCCTGTAAGTGCAATGCCGCAGACGCACCATAAAATAATATAATTTTGTTTGATTTAGAAACATCTGTCGAGAATTTAGAAATGTACTACCAAATAATAATGCGGCAGAATAAACTCGGAAAAGGTTAAACAATCTAGTACGTAAATCTAGTACGTAATTCAAGTCAATAAAAAAATTGCGAAACTTTTTATACGGAGCGGAAAATAGGGTCATTATCAGTGGCGTAACGAAGGGCCCTGCTGACCCCGCTGTGCAGGGGGGCGCCGTCTTAGGGGGGCGCCAAATCGTCGTTTGAATGTGGGACAATTTCGAAAACTTGACTAAAGTACTAGCAAAACTGCGCGTTTTGCTCTAGATACACACTTTTTTAGAGATTTTACCGGCGTATCCTCTTAATTAATCGCCTAATTTGTTCAATTTTAGGGAGGGGCACCAAAAGGAGGGGGGCGCCAACAGGGGGGCGCCTTTTCGGCAGGGGGGCGCCAACAGGCAACGTTACGCCACTGGTCATTATTGATGTGGATTCTCGTGGGGAGGTGAGGTGCATTTGTTTACATTTAAGTACCCGGTGGCAATTATACAATAGTAAAATCAAGGTAATGTCAGCAGGTCACCTTGACAGTAACATGAATATTGAATAGCAGATATATGGTTAATAATCAGTACCTGGCGCTCTAGTCTGGCTATTTTCTGTCTGAGAGCGAAGTGCTCCCCGCCGGTCTGGGTGTCCTTCAGTTGCTCTTCTAGCAACGTTATCTGCCGCAAGTACTGTCTTTTGGAGTCTTTGAACGATTCAGCTTCCTGGACAGGGTTTCAGATTATCAACCACATCAATTACATTAACTAAAGCTAAGATTTAGGGAACAAATTATGAGACACTTGTAGTTGTTCTGCCGTCTGCGGCTGGAATCAGTTTATGTAATCTAGCAACGGTTAAAATATTCAGGTTGAGATGATTCCAAATTCTAGCTAGACTGATTGGGTTTATAATTATTTTCCCAAGCTACCCTGTCTAGGAAAACTTCAAATTGGATGAAGTTGTCCGGTAGCCCTTATAAAGTTATAACATATAAAGACCAAAGATTTGTTCGAACTTGCTGCAACTTCTAACTTAATACCTGAACACTCCCTTACCTTCGAGGCAGAAGCTTTTGCTTCTTCCACTCTGTCATTCATCTGTTCGAGTCTTCTTTGATATACAGCTATTTGAGCCTAAAAATATAAGTTTATATGTACAAAACACAGATGTTAGATAAGCAGATTTATTGCCCATTTACAGAAAAGACTGTCTAGTGTTCGTGAAACTCACTGACCTGTGCTTTATCTATGACTTTCTGTCTCTCATCACAGGTATTGTGAAGTTGAGTGTGGAGATCACTGATGTTCTTCTTCAACATCGTCACTTGGACCTGGAAAGTTGTGATATTATTGATTAACAATCTAATGAAAAGTTGGGTTGAAAACATCAATTTATACGACAGTTAAGCATAAGAAAGCATGTATAAGACTCCCGAAGATAGGCATTACTGACCTAAAGGCAGACATTAATACTGCTAGAGATAAAAAATCTCACCTCGTAATCAGCGATGGTGGTCTCATACTCGGAAATCTTGTGAGCAACATCGTTATCAGCGTTGTTTTGATATGATGCTAACACGTCTTTCAGGGCCTCTGTTTCTCTCTGGTGTCTGCGGGGCAAGATATCAACTACAACCATCTTTGATTAAAGAGAAGAAGTCGGCAAATGGTATTTTGATTTCTTGTAGTGTAAATGTATCCTAGCTTTAAAAGATTTTGTCAACCCCATTTAAAGACCCCAAAAGGCAAGTGAATAAGAAAAATCACCTAGAATCAAGAATAACCTAAGATATAATATAAAAAATTAAGTAGACATGAAAGCAGACCTGTGCATACGATACAGAGCTTCATCAACCTCTGACTGTTTGGCAGCTAGCTTTTGTTCGAGGTCTTTAATTTGATTATCACTTCCTGCTCCCTCCATGTCTAGTTTCAGAGACTTGACCTTAAAAATATTCCTTGATTTATGAGCTATGCTAATTTCTTTCCCTTGGTTTGGAAACCTAAGGACGGTCTTATAACCCTATTGCTTGAACCTGCGGATCCCATAAGATAAGTATGGAACACAAAAAAATAACAAAGTGCAAATTATGATAAATCAATTTTAACAGGGTTTTACCTCATTTTGAATAGCGCCGTGCTTCTCTGTTTGAGCAGCCAATATCTGCTGAACCTTTTCTAGATTCATATTAGCTCTGAGAACCTCATCATCTGTTAACAATGGCAGATGTTAATGATAACAGATCAGTAATTGTCATTAGAACCAACTTTTAAACCATCATCCAAGATATTATCATATGCCATAATTATATGGTAACAATTGATTTGCAACGTTATCAAACCTTTGTTTGCGAGTTGGGTCTCGTAACGATATCGTATATCCTCGATGGTTTGCTTCAATTTCTTCACTTGATGCTCAGCTTTGTTCGCCTTAAATAGTACACAATTAATATCTACTCTGATGACTACATGGTGTAAGTATTGCTCTAAAACGATGAACTCTCTTATCGAGTAAAATTCCATCGCATCGAAATTCACAATCCCTGATTTCTATTTTTTAAATATTTTAAATCGAGCAACAAGAATAAAGATTTCGATTCTGACCTTGGTCATCCAATGAACTCCACTATCGTTATCAGCTGTAGGCGAAGTCTGGTTCATCATGGCAAGTTTCAGTTTGCTGTGTTCCCTTGCCAGAGTCTCATTCAACTTATCCTTCTCTTTCAGCTCCAACTGAGTACTACTCAAGTTGACCTGCAAATCTCCAACTATTTCCTCATATTCTTTAATTTTCTGGGTCCTGTCCTCGACCAAGAAGTTTAATTTTTGAAGGGAGTTCTGGAATGCCTCCTTTTCTTCAGATATTTCGTCCTTGAATTTGGTCATGATGTCCCCATATTGAGACAGTTGCAGATCTAAAGAACCGTGGGTTTGACTGAAAGTATTCTTCAGATCATCAAGTTCAGTTTGGTACCGTATTGATTCGTCTTCCGCTTTTTTGAGTTGTCGCTGCTTTGCACGAAGTTCTTTTCTGCGACTACTTTCCAGATCCTCCAGCGCGTGATCTTTCTCTTTGACGAGCATTTTGCTGCTATTAAGCTGCTCCTTAAGCTCTTCTATTTCGTCTTCACATGTTTCTAACTTAACCTTCACTAGCTGCTGCTGGATATTGAGCCTCTCCGCCATTGTTGAAACACGACCCTCATACTCCTTTATATGTTCGAAAGTTTTTTCATAAGAAGTATCGAGATCCTCCTTGAGCTGATGTAATCGACCTCGTTCAAACGACAGGGTTTTTCTCAGCTGATCCTGACTTTTATCTTTATATTCGATAACATCGGACAACTGGGACAGCCTCGTTTCATAGACACTCTTCTCAACACTGATTGTGTCATTTAGCATGTCCATTTTCTCGCCCTTTTCCGCGAGCATTTGACCAAACACCTTCTGAAGCTCACGCATACTTCCGTTCATGTTGGCACTAACTCCCCTCAGACTTGCACATTCTTCCTGTAAGTTTTCACATTCTTTTATCTTCTCCCTGAGCTGGTGTCTTATATCGTGGGTGATGAGTTCAAGGCCATCGATCTCTTGTAGACTGACATGTCCCAAAACACTTTCGTCTGTAACGGGAGTTTTTTGTTCGTAGTCCTCTGATTCCAACCCCTTGATTTTAGCTTCCTGGTGTACCGGCCGTATTTTGGAGAGGACTGGAGAAGCTTTTTTGAGCGTCAAAAGATCTTTCAGATCACCCATCTGAGAGGCGATCTCTTGGAGTTCGTCGGTAACCTTCATGAACCGTTCAGAGTCGGGAGCAATATCGTAGTTGCCAAGCATGTTCTTTATAGATTCTATTTCATTCTCAAACTTCGTGCATCGCAGCTCTGCCTGCTCTATAACGATGGCATTTTCTCGTTCGCTCTTTCCGTTCTGACTACCCCTGAATCTACTGGAAGTTACTTCATCTTTCGTGTCGGATAGTTTATCTGCTAGTAGAGTAACCTTCTCCTGAAGTATCTCCAGAATTGGAGAGAGGCAATCCGAATTATCGACATTCTCTGATTCCTTGCTGCTTCTTAATTCTTCTGCTATCATCTGCATCTCTTGTTGAGTTGTTTGCAGAAGCAGCTGATAGTGGTCAAGTGAACATTGGTGTTCCTCGACTGTCATCTGAACGTTGTCTTCAATCTCAAGGACCTTATCAAGGGTAATCGTTAACTCACTGTCCTTGTCACTGCCCGATAGATTGTGTTGGATTGCTTCAATGTCTTCTTTCAACAAGTCAAGTTCTCCTAGTACGTCTGTGGTACGTTCACTTTCTAACAACAGCTCATCATTGAGATTTGTGAGAGATTCATTGATGTCATTGATACCTTTACAGCTCTTTTCAATTATCACTTTGTTATCAGCAGTAACCTTATCTGCTTGTTGTTCGAATAATGACACCATTTTCTGCAGTTTCTTAATGTGGGCGTTGTAGACATTCCCATCTGAAGTCTGGCGTTCAAGTTCCTGTTTGAACTTCTGATAGAGCTTCCTGTATTCTTCATCCTTCTTGTCCATTAGCATCTGCATATCCTCGATACGTTTTTTGTACTTGTCCATGGCAAGTCCATCCTCTGGGACGTAGCCTCCCTGAATTTCAAGTTCAGTCGGAGGTGCAATACTCCCTAGACTTCCACTCTTAAAGTTGAGATCGCAAATGCTTCCTTTTTGGGAGCTTGCTACACTGCTACGTTTTAAAGAGTCACGGAGATCCCGAATTTGGCGATCTTTCTCGCCGATGACATGATTAAAACTAGCTGTATCTTCCAGCCAAACGCTGTGTACGGAAGATGATCGTCGCATAGCATCACCTCCCTCATAATCCATGAGCTTTGTCTTTAGATAAGTTACCTCTGTTTCCAATTGTTTTCGAGATTCAAAGAAAGCCTGGCTATCAGCCAAGTTTTTGGCTTCTGCTTTGTTTATTATCTCTTCACTCTTAAGGATTGACTCATCCTGCTCTGCAATAAAAGATTTCAGCTCTTTTATCTCATTTTCAAGTTGCTTCGCGGTTTCAGTATGTACTTTAAAGTTCGTATCGATTTCTTCAAGAAGACAGCTATTTTCGGTTTCATGATCGTTACACTTCTCCAAAAGATTATTGTATTTGTTCTGCAGCTCAACGTTCTTTGTCACCAGTTCTTGCTTTGTCTTGTCCTGTTTGCTGAGTATGGAATTGATTTCATTGTTCTTTTCCTCGATCGTCTTTTCCTTCATGGTAATCGTCTTTTCCAGTTCGTCAATCTTCTGGTTATCGTTTTGTAAGGAAAGGCGTACTTCCAATTTGCTTTTGTCTGATTTAAGAGATCTGATTTGTTCCCGAAGACCATCTTCTTGATCTAACAGGTCTTCCACCTGCATTTCCAAATCTTCAACATTCTTTTTTAGGTTCTTAATAATTCTATCTGATTCTGAATTAAGATCAGGGTGGTCATCAGTTTTCATTTCTTTAGCACGCATTTCAAGTAATTTGTTCCCCCTCTCAGCTCTCTCTTTATCAAACACAGCCTTTTCAAGTTTCATCTTGAGGTCAGATACCTCTGATTCTAACTGTCTGTCATGTTCTGAAGCTTCATTAAGACTAGATTCCAGGATATCAAGTGCAATTGATTCCTCTCTAAGAATGTTATGCCTCTGTTGGGCAATCTCCAATTCTGCTTTCAGGTTTTTCAACTGACGATTGATGGTATCATACTGCTCATCTTTGGCAAGTAGATTGTCCTGTTGAATCTCAATAAGATTTTCAAGGTTCAAAAGTTTGGTAACTACTTCATTGAACTCAACATTTTTGTCCTCAAGATTTTGTTCGAAACGTTTGTTGATACTCTTTGCCTGTCCTAATTCCTTTTTCAAAGATTCATTTGTCAAAAGAGTTTCCTCGATTTCCAGTTTATGACGTTCTTCCTTGATATGCTGACTTTCCTTTAACGACGCAATCTTTCTAGCATTGTTCGCATTCATTCTTTTCAAGTCCTCTTGCAAGTCTGTAATCTTCTGTTTCTTAAGATCGATCTCTGTCTGCAACCGACTGTGGCCTTTTCCATAGTGATCTTTCATTTCAGCGATTACGTCACGTTTTTCATCTATCGGCGATATCTTGCTCAGGATGTCTAAAGCAAGACGATCTGTCAAAACTTTGCATTCGTCCTTCAGTGAGGTATTTTCTTTTTCAAGCATTTTCAACACATCGGATTGCCTTTCGTCTTCCAGCATTTCGTTCAACATTTCTACTTCTTCCTCAAGATTTTTCATGGCTTTCTCATGGTCATCTTGATTCATTCGTACTTGTTTCTGCAGATTTTCTATCCTTTGTCCATATTGATTATCAGCTTCAGCAATCTCTGTGCTTATCTCGGCAAATTCGGAGTTGAGGGTGTCGATTTCAGCTTTCAATGCCTCATTATTCTTCTGCAGCTTGTTTATCTGATCATCTTTACCCTTGAGACGTTTCTTGAATTCATCGCTATCAAGAGTGACCAAATCCTCGTCATCTAACATTAACTTTTCACACATTTTCTCTGCTTCGTCCAAATTCTGAGCAAGGTTATTCAGTGATTCCTCGGAATCTTTACCAGATAACCTCTCCTGAAGATCAAATTCAAGTTCTTCAACTCTTCTTTCAAGCATGATTCTATCCCGCTTCTCATTTTCAAGTTGTTCTATCAATGATTTGTCAGCTGGATCTGTACCACTTAACGCGATCTCCAATTCTCTTTCAAGATCAGCAATCCTCGAGTTTAGAGCTAACATTTGAGCATCATGTTCATCAGAAAGAATTGCTATTGTGTCCTCAAGATGAATATTATCATGGAGGCTGTCTTCCAAGTTCTGTTCAAGAATCTCAAGTTCTGCTTGGGGATTTGCAGGTGTTACAGAAACAGATATTCCCCGCCTCACATCAGATTTTAGTTGCATGATTTCTTCATCTTGCTCATACAATTGGTCTTCAAGATCATTAATCTTCCCTTTCAGCAACTCGTTTTCTTTTTCTGCACTTTCCAGAGCAAACTTTCCTTCTTCATTTTCCTTTCTAACCTCATTCAGTCTATCAGATAAAACTCTGAGAGGATTAGGTTTGGGTAAAATCAAGGTGGGTGACTGATTTGGGGAGTTGTCAGAATGTGTTGGTGATGGTGCTGTGATATTTATCTCCGGAGGGGGAGGTGGAAGAGTCTCAGAATCAAGAGATAATTCCACAACAGAAAGGAGTTCGTCCTTTGAAGTCTCCAATTCGGTTAGCTTGTTCGACAACTTTTTATTGCGCTCTTTCTCCGCATCTAAATGTTTTTTCAGTTCAAGGACTGATTCGTTGATACTTCCAGAAGTGTCATCAAGGATGGAATTCTCAAGTTTCGTCTGGAGATCTATAATAACGCTTTCATAGTTGAAGGAGTTGTCATCAAGCTGCTCCATTGCATAGCTGAGCTCCTGGTTCAGTTGAGTATTTTCCTCGAAGGATTGATTAAGTTTCTTTTCTAAAATCATTAGTTTTCCTTTAAAATGATTCACTTCTTCACGATGCAAGACTTTCATGTTCTCTATTTTTTCCGAAGAATCTTTCTTAACAGGCTTCCTTTCTTCGGGAGATAGTTGGTTCATTTTTTCTTCAAACTTGTTCTTCAAGCCTCCAACTTTTCTGTTTGGTGATTCTTTCACAAGGGAATTTAGCTTCTTCACCTCTTCCTTTAGCTTACTATTTTCCTTTTTGAGATCATCCATAAGCTTAGGATAGAAATTCTTTTTCTTCAACTCCTCAATGTGTTGGTCTTGAGAGTCAATCGTCTTGTTTAGATCAGAAACGAGGTTATCATGCTTAGAAAGTGTGGTCACCAATACCTTTTCCAACTCTTGAACTTTCTTCTGTGACTTTTCCAGCATTCTCTTGTTTTCCTCTAAATCATACTTGACATCTTCAAGTTGTCTTTGGGTGGGTCTTCTTGATTTGATGTCCTCAAGTTCAGCTAAAAGTTCGCCACATTTTTTATTATAACGCTTTGAAATCGCAGTCTCCCTGATGATAGACTTCCCAAGATCATCAATTATCTTTACAAGTTCCTCATTATTTAGACCCAAATCATTGATCCTCTTCTTGAGATTTCTCAGGATTTCCAGACCTATCTTCGAATTAAGTTGATTTTTAGCAGGACTGCTCCCAGAAGTTGGCTGGAAGTCTTCCGAAGACAAGTTAGCCATGTTCTTTTCAAATTCAGCATCTAAATCCAGGGGAACTGTTTGGAGCGATCTTTCTAGATCTTCAATAACATCACGAGACTTATCCTGCTCGTCCTGGGAAAGGTTAAAAGTTACATAGAAATTCTAGCTACAATGAGCTAAATTTTATGACATTTTAATAGTTTAAAAAGAGCAAAAGCGCTTCAGCTTAGAAAGGGTAGCGTGGAATTTTCTAGGGCAGCGTGAATAATCTAGGCTTAATCATACAACAGCGCAATAAACTATGAAGTAATTTATCATTCCTTAACAAACCTATATTCGTTCGTCAATCACCAATGAAAGTGGATGCGGATTCAGCGAAAATCTGAGCCAATCAAGATAGAAATATGTACTTACTACCTGCAGTGCATGCATTAAAGCATTGTTTTGGTCGATCAGATTCTCGTTTTGCCGTTTGTATTTCTCCTCGGCTCGAGACAGCTCCCACTCTAGTCTTTCCGTTTCATTCTCCATTAGGTCTGTTCTACTGTAATACTCCATCAGTTCCGCCTGTAGAGAGGCAGGTTAAATTTGAGAACATGGAAGAATACTGCTAAATTCTGAATCACGATGTAACTATAAAACAGTAGTATCAAAGGTCTCGGTATCACAAGTAATTTGGTAATTATAATTTGGTTACTTGCAGAGTAACCCAACTACCTGACTAGTCCGGAGTTGTTCCATTAAAGAGTCTTTCTGCTGCCGGTTTCTCTCCTGGAGCATCTCTATCTCCTTCTGGTGGAGCTGTTCTGTGCCCTGACAAACAGATTATAATACTTAATATGAGTATTAATTAAGTATCAATCATAATGTTTTAAACTGCTAGTTGTTATTGATAGTAAGCTGTGATTCGGCCGGCAAAAGGTATATTCGAAAATCAGTCTGTATAATGATTTGCAGGTGACTTTTCAGACACAAACCTTGAGTTCTTCCATGGTTTTATTCAGGAGTTGATTTTTCTGGGACACATCCTGAAGGAGTTTAGCTCTCTCTTCCTCGTATACCGCCTGCATCTCTTGTGGATCCGCTGAGAATAAACTCATGTTAAAAAGAGAGATTGGGAATAAAAAATCGCGAGTAAACGAATACTAATACATAGTATGTAATAATTCTGAAATCATTTTCTTATAACTTACGATTGAAAGGCACTGGATAAGCATTTAGAACAAAGCGAAGGGCAGTCTTGTTATAAAGTAAGAAAATAAGATTCTACGTGTTACAGGGGATTGCGATGTGGATTCAGTCTTATCAGGTGACTATATAGATTGAACCTCCGACCACCAAAACCTTATTTCAGTAAATACAAGCCCAATAATAAGAAACTCTGCGAAGTCAATACAGGACAGGAGAACTACAAACTTACAATTAACTGACACAAGTGCGTCAGTTAGCGCGTCAATCTGCTCCTCCAGATGGCTCAGAGAGGTCTCGTTGGTTCGAATAGAATCGTTTACATTCTGTGCAACACCCTTCAGTGCAGGTGATGTTGACATCTCAACTTCATATTATCTTCACTGGTTCTACAAACAGAAAAACGGGTGAAATCTACATATTTGGGCAAACAAAGTAGAGGTTAGGTAAGGGTTTAGGCTATTATATCAGTGTGTGATAGTGTGTGAACTCTCAGCTCCACTATCTGAATTATACACAGACGTATAACCCGGGGTAAATTTTGGTATAATTAGATTTTATTAGATAATAAATCCAGTGATAATACGACTAAATGCCCGATTTCGTTCCAGCTGAAACTCCATGAACCTTCGAGATGTCTTACCATATAAATCAAGATCTTTCTCAGTCACTGAACGGTGATCAAATTTACAATGGTTAACTGCTGGTGAACTTTTAACAAACTGCAACTACAAGTACGGTAACTATAATAATGTGGTAAAACTGCAGGGCCGAGCTACTGCCAGAGCAACTCACACTGTTACCATGGAAACGGGCAGAGGTCCAGTCCGGCTAGAATTTCAAACTATGTACTCCTCTAGGTGGCATCAAATCAGTCCTGTCAATATTGCAAGGTTCTAGAGGCACATTCTTGGAGTGTAACGTGATTTTGAGAGTTAAACAATGCAAGACGACCTATACCTTTGATTGAAACCTTTAAAAATGTTTAGCAAGCATTTGTTCAAAGATGACATTAGTACATTGTAATCCTTGCTAGGGTGCGATAAGCGCTGTTTAATTGAACCAGAATTTGCAACCGTGCCCCAGGTATGTGACTAGGTGGCCTCCTAATAATGACGAGGAGGCCCACATCGTGCCCGTACCTTGATTCCACCCAACTCCGTCATTCCATAATAGTCATGCACTTGATTCATTTAAACAAAACAAGGTTAATATTTGACGATGATACAGTTACGATATTCTCAGGATAGGTTAGAGAAATTTTAACAGAAGTTTCAACTTCAACCTTAAAGATTCTGAAAATATGTAAACCTTAAATTGTGATTTAATCAGGAATCATTAAATCTTTCACCTAGTTAACGAGAATTAATCACATTCTAATAATCTAATTGTTTTAAGTATATTATCGGAGTGATTCTACAAAGACATCAACCGATGTTTCAGGCGACCGTTGGTTAAATAGAGTAATTTAGAATGTGATAAAAGAATCTGGCATCTTGCCCATAGATGCAGTTAGAATAGATTGAAAATATCCTAAGCAACAAAACTCAAAATACTCTTCAAGTATTAATATAGCTACTGAGTTTCAAGCGGCATCAGTAATTTTATTTTCTCAGACCTACAAATGAATTGATTAATTTTGGCAAGCATCGGTGGGAAGCGCCTACATTATTATCAACCGATAGACAAAAGCCTAAAACTTTGATCTACAACCATACGACCGGGCGGATATAAGCTTTTAAGAGCAGAAACTAAGGCTCGAACAAAAGATTAGAGTAGTTTACTGAGAGTCGATGGTGTAGATTAACAATAGAGGATTTAGCGGGGACTCAACACTTGGGAACCCCGCAAAGAGGCCCCCAAATAGGCTTGGAGACAACGTCACAAGTAAAGCGCGATACATTGATACAATGAGATGATCTGCTAGTGCACCAACTGATAGGGCTCAGCGAGTAACGGTAACTGTGAATCTGAACGGAGCCACTCTGTGCTCCTATAACTCGGGATCTTCAGTCTCCAGGTGGCAATAATGCAACTCAATAACTTTAATTGGTACCGTCGTTTCCTTCTCCACCTGCACTATTGGAGGAGAATAGCGATTGTAATCTGAAGATACGGAGAGTTCAGTCTCATCTAATTTACAGGGTGTGAAGCTGATAAGTTCTGTACCTCAAACATATCATAGAGTAACACTAACAATTATCTAGGGAATTATCAATAAGTAAGTTCCTGTTTTATGATTCCCAAATGACGCGAAACCTAAGCTGCTGAACCAGAAAGATTTTAATTCGATATTTAATTCTATCATTGATGATTTTGGTTTCTTCTGAAGCTTCAAAATTAAAATTAATAAGAGATCACTGATAGAAATCACTAATGAGTTGTTCTAGTTTCTCAGAGAATGCTATATCATGACAATTACTCGACTTATCACTTACGACTAGTTAGGGCGGCTTCAATGTCCGAGCAGATATGATTTTTCTCCAAATCTGTCTATCCAGTATGAACTTGTTAATTTCTTTGCTGTTGTCAATAGATCATCGTTATAAATGTTTAATTGGATCTTAATTTTTCCGACATAGATACACATTACACAAGCTTTTTATTTTCCCATCCAAACTGTTGCCTTATAATATTCTAGATATTCATATAGTTATCAAAATGTACAAAATTCCTACTTTCCTTAACGAGGCTATAGCTCGTTTATGCATGGTAATAATATTGAATATTGAATATTTAATGTAATAATATTACCGGTCTCTCTCTCGACTCTCTCCGCTGGTTCTAACTGTTGAGTAACACTAACAATAACAGTAAACCACAAGAAAGCCTGATCATTAAATTGAGTATATAACAATATTAAAAGATCGTGATGTGGAAATGATTTATTAGCACGTACAGTCTAATGCGAACGTTTTGCATCTTACTTTAGTATTTTTACTTTGACGTACAGGTGATTTCTTCCAATGAATGGGCATATGCAGTAACGATTTGGTCAAGGTTGGTAAGTTTAGGTAAGAACTAAGATGAGAAGTACGAATGAGTCGGACTTTTCAATTTACTCGTATCGTACGTACTTTTCAGTTCTACTGAAAAGTCCTCCTTCTAGAAATCGATGGAAGAGTTCTAAATCGCATGTTACGGACTAATATTGAGCGTTTTCAAAATTTGTGTTTCTATATTATATTCCAATCGTCGATTAACTTAAAGTTTAACTTTAAGAGAAACAAGCTGTTTAAATAAGTAAATTGTCTAGTAATTTTGTAAAATTTTTGTTTTTTCAAATGCTTGCCTGACCTAAGAATTGTATGTTTTATTTGTTCGCGAACGGTATATTTTCTCTAAAATCGGCAAACAATTACATTTTACAACGGCCCCGATGATAATAATTCAAAAACAATAAAATTCTATCTGAATCGTACTTCGTATGAGTCGGACTTTTCAAAGTTGCGTACAAGTACGTACTTTTCCCCCTAAACGAGTCCGTACTTCTCATCTTAGGGTAAGAATATCGCATGTTAGATTGAGAAGTCATTTCAACGTCAATTAAAATACAAATATAACACAATGTACACATTATTTAGTATATCATACCGTTTAAGGCGGTCACTATAACGTGAAAAGCTATATTGTAAGCACTAGCAAATAGTTGAGGTCACGACTTATCGTACGTGTTGCTTAATCTTGTTTGGCTACTTCTGTTGGCCCTGTCGGTCTGAGAGTTTTAAATAACAATCTTGTTTCTGGTTTCATAGATTTAATAAATAATTTGTTGTTTTTAAAGTTTTAACACACGATTCAGACGGGAATTTGCATTTTTCATCTTTTTCTAAGATTTTTGTATCCCCCATTTCTGGAGCAGGAAGTTGGAAATCTTAATAGAAATTTAAAACTCATTCATGATTCAAGTGAAAAGAGTTGGACTTCTTCAGTTCTCCTCAGGGCCCAGACTTCTCCGTACACTACCATCTAAGCACTCAACACTTCACAGTTCACTTCCAGCTCCAATTTTATGAAATCAGAACAAACCTGAACATACCTGGAACAAGCCTAGAAGAAGGAAATATGTTCGTTTTGTAAAGAATCACAACCGATGGGAAGGATAACTATTCATGTTTATTGTACCATGGTGTTAGTGTTAACTGTTACTGCTAACTTCGTAACGTCGTTATTTTAGCGGGTTTGTGAGAAATTCCACGAGCACTCTATAGTTACATTATTTCAAAAGACTTAGGATTTTGTTCTTTTACAATTTATATCCTGTTACGCTCCTATATCCTGTTACGCTCCTCCTATTAGGATAATCTATAGCAACACAGCGAATTTGTTCTTGATTAATCTTTTATTAGCTGGGCAAGTGAAACGATAGTTTGCAGTCATCGATTAGTCCCCACAGCCCCACACGTGATAATAAAATAAACGTCACGTGATTGTGATACGCCGTATGTGATGTCAGACACGTCATTATGTCAACTGTGTAATTTGTATAGGAAGTTCTTGTCCTTGTAGGAAATGGGAAGTGAATATCTTGCTTTATTTTGTCTTGATTTTCAGATTTTGTGCTGCTGCCAAGTGGCCTGTGATTGTTTTGAGAAAAGTCAACGTTTTCAATTAAGTGTGGGTGATGAAAACTTGTACTGTTATCAATCGTTTTAATCACGTGTTTCAATACAGAGAAATGCAAAAACACATATGTACAGACAAAACGGTTGCGCTCAACTGGAGACATGCTTAAATGAATTATAATCAACGGCAAATTATTGCCATTTGTCTGGTGTTAAGCTGAAGTAAATGTAAAACGGGTTTTATCATTACCACTACTAGGTGCTAGTACTGATACAGAGGTCCTAGGTTTCTTGCACAATGCACTGCACATTTAAGAATTTTGTTTTGATTCTCGATTAGTCTGCTCGCTATTTATGACATGGCATTTTCTCTCAATTTCATATCGAATCGATGGCGAACAATTCTCACTTCTTTTCTATTGCACATTGCCGTCCGATACCCGTCCCGAATTATACACAAAGAGCTGAGAGCTTAGTCAGCTTTACTTTAATGTATTTTTTTATGAACGTACTAATTTCTTGATAAGAGTTGTTTTTTTTTAATATGGTGAAAAAGGCAACACGAATTCATCTCTTGAATTAATAAAAAATGATGATCCAGATCAGTGATGATCACTTCCCCACAATATCTTAATGAGAACCTGCTCACCGCTCACCACTTCTAGCTTCTTGCCATGTATTACTTAGCATGATAGTCAAGCTTCATCACCTGAATTTTTTTTGAATATTTATCACCCAGCGGGTATACTTACCGGTAAGATGGCAACTTACAATAAAAGAGAACTACCAAAACTGGACTTGGACCTACTGAACGGTTCTGAGGCTGACCTAGCTGACCTAGTGTTGATAGCAGAGAGATCACTGAAGGAGGTGGGATTCTTTGTTATCAAGAATCATGGAGTATCCGAGGATACCATCAGGCGAACTTTTGGTTAGTGTATAGTAGAAAAATTGAACACAAGTTTAGTTTTCCATAGTTATTAGTTAATCTGAACTTTTAGAGATGGAATTATTCTGAACTGCATGAGCCACACAAAATTTAAATCAAGATGCTCTTAGCTGATGGACAATCCCCAAATTTGATGACCAACATAATCTTTTTTACTATTCAAGGCATATCTCGACGGTTCTTCGACCTGGACGTCTCACAGAAATCAAAAGTGAGAATGACCTCAGACTACCCTTACGGTTACGAGAAAGCCGAGATACTTTCCCAATCTCTAAATGGAGAAGGGGTAACTCCTGATCCTAAGGAAACTTATAACATCAAGGTGAGGGAAGCTTACACAGGATGCCTTGTGAAGTATTGTTTCGGTATAGAGCAAAAGATCATCAGTGCTTACTAACCAGTCATTTGGTTTTTTTGGTCAAACTTAGACTTAGTTGGAAAAAACCAACGTTACTGACAGGTTGACTGCTTCAGGTATCAGACCCGAGATGGCCAGATGAACCATTGGAGTTCAAAGCAATTGTGATGGAGTACTGCAATGCCATGTGGACCCTCGCTAGGAAGATCCTGCGTCTCTTTGCTCTGGTGCTACGACAGAGCGAAGACTTCTTTGATGACAAATTTCCCACAGGTAAAGCACTGATTTCGAGCATATCCTTCCATTGTAACTGAAACCCAGCATAGCTTAAACTTCTAATCAGGTTCATTAAATAAAATGTATTCGGAAACGAATAGAGATTCAAGAAACTTTAATTAAGAGCCTAGAAGGTACTGAACATAAGTTGACCGTGTGCTCGTTGTGTCCACTGTCCCTCCCCACACCAATGTAATTGTAAACACTGATTATATCCCAGATAATATGACAGTATTCCGTCAACTGAACTACCCTCACGTGGCCCCGGGTCCGGACCGGATCAGAGCCTCACAACACACGGATTACGGAGTACTGACTATACTGGCTCAAGATAACGTTGGGGGACTTCAGGTCAAACTTCCGGGACAAGAATGGGAGGACGCGTCAACTCCACAGGGCTGTCTTCTTGTTAACATTGGTACGAGAATAAATATGTAAATATTAGGTGAAATCATATGAAGTTAGAAGTGAGAGTACAGGGAAACTGTTTGTGGGAACAAATTGCTGAGACTCAATATCACAAATTAGAAGGTTGCTCTTACTGTTATAAAACTGCAACACTAAAAGAAAAGATAACGAGTATAAAGGATATTAGTGTTATGTGCAGTTATGCCAGTGAAACTGATGTACTCACCTTTAGGTGTTAGCTCTAGTAGAATCGCCGGAACTATATAGTCGTTCATGTTAAACGTGATATGGAAATAGAGGGTGTTGTTAGCTAATAGGGGGTGGGTTGTGTGTTGTAACAACAAGATTGCAGATAACATCCGGTATGATCCAGGTGACATGATGCAGAGGTGGAGTAACGACAGTTGGAGGTCCACTCTCCACCGGGTGGTGAAGAAGGAAAGTGCTAGTCAGACTGACAACAGGCGACAGTCCATGGTATTCTTTGTTAACCCTGGCAAGGACGTTATGGTAAGTAGACTTGCGATTTTCCTATTTCCGTGTTGTGCTAAGAGTAAGAGTATTGAGTTAAAGACACTTGATATCTTGATATCAGATATGCATGAATATAAGATCGCATTGTTGATCGTGTTGCACTTGCATGTGTCTTCGAATCTAAAATAAAATAAATTATATCCAGTCACTAGTGCCGATATTGCTAATTGCATAAATTTTAACAACTAATAAATAATTAAGAGTACTAACCTGCTATCAACCTGCAGATTGAGTGTATCCCCGACTACCAGGCAACAGGAGAAGAAGCTAAGTACTCCGCCATCAAAGCTGAGGAGTACGTCCTCGCCAAACACTACAGCACCATACCCAGCATCCTGGCTTCTGCCGGGGAAAAGTGATCAGATGTTGAGGAGAAACTTACTTTCCTTGCCACCACATATTTGATATGACATATGAGACAAAGTTTTATATTAGGACAGAGACTCAATTTTGATAGAGCAAATTCGCTTTCTTAATTAATTCCCTAACGCTCGCGCTTACAGTTCACGTGATACCATCACTTTTAATCTTTAAGTTTAGACATGGGATGCCTCGGTTGTTTTACTAAATAGTCGTTTTACTGAATGATCATTTTATTGAATAATAATTCGTATAAAGAACTTGCTTGATGTTTAACTTTGAAAGATCGTGCATCAAAGTGTTAGCAAGCGTCAATCGGTATGCAATACCTATAATTCATAGTATAGGGCGCTACTTAAAACTGTACGTCGCGGTTACAACAAGCTGTTCCTATGTTGCGTAACTGGTAACGCCAAACGCAATGGTAATTGCACAATTCCAACAGCTGGTATAACTATATTACGCAACCTTAAATTGCACTAGCAGTTTTCCAGAGTTAATGATTTTTTAGAGTGCTATTTGAGCGATGATTTAGATAAAGCAGCTAGTCATTTGGTGTCTGTTTGGTAACCGTCCTCCAGCCAAGGACGTCGCGACCAATCGTCTTACGTAACGAGATCTACATTTTTGGTGGGGCAAGTGCCCCAGGGCCTTATGTTCCAGTTGGACGAGGGTTAAAACGAAGTTTGGGTGCAGGATTAATCGAGATAGGGATCAGACCGTCATTTTAAATTTGTTGGTCATCATTTCGGTCGACAAAAACACATTATTTGTTATTCCTTCGACTATGGATTTACATATTGACAAAGCTAGCAAGAGCGTTTGTTTTATGTATGCACAACTTTTAAATTCACGAGATTTATAGTTCTACAAGCATGTTTCTCACTTTATACTAATTGCACTCACGAGAAAAAACAGATTAAAATACGATGTGTCGATGAAAAACAATAAATACAAATTATATAACATGTGTTCCAATTCAATATTCTAAAATATAACTAGTTCTGACAATCTAATTGTATTTCTACTCACCCTGCTAAACTATATGGTAACCCAATCGATAATCATTAGTACTAATTCTAAAACGGTGTATTTTTCGAGGCAATTTAAATGAAATTCACTCAATTAATGCTTAATGTTATTAAGAGTCTGTCTTAATTTCTTTGAGGCAAAACCTAATTCTTTCATCATATTTTATATCTAACAATAACACCCTGTGCTTCATTTAAATTAAAAGTTATTAGAATTATTAATTGAAGCGTGGTTTACTCCTAGCAAAATAATAAAGAGGTAGTTTGTTGAGCAGAATAAGCTAACAAAAATAATTAAGTTAATCATGACAACTTTTCAACTGATCAAATCCACACCATTTACTTTTAGTCATTTTAGTTTAAATTTAACTATTTCTAACGTTTTAAATGTTGGTCGAGTAAAAGACCTGCTAGCAATCTGATTTCTCAAATAGTTAAACCCTGAAAACATTCGACTAGTCATGGTCAAAATTTTGAAATGACATTAACTAGAAATTAGAAAATATGGTCCAAATGGATATCTAAATTTGGCTTTGAAGCCACCGTATTATAAAAGAGAATTAAAAGGGTTAAATATGATAATATTGATAATCTAGCTCTTTAAAAATAGTTATGTTTCTTAATAGTTTAAAAGAAAAAGCCAACATTTCTTGTGCATCCAACACGTAATTTTCTAAATATACACTCAAAAAATATTAACTTAAACTGTTAATTGAAAACGGCCCGTTTAAACACACGTCACAACTAATGTAACAATGATGTTCATGTCAACGGTACCTAACCTAATCTAAGAAATATTCCAGCACGAGTAACTGCTAGAAATTCCAGTACAAAATTCGCAAGTTTCCTTTTAAATACAAGTTCGGTCATCGGATAAAGTATAATAATTACCTGTATATCACTCATGATATAATATAGTATTAACAACAAGCTCTCAGGGAGCCAAACAGCCCCAAACTTCCATTCTCTCGTTGAATTTCATAATTACAGCTGCTCACGGGATGACCATATATGGTAAAGTGCGCGAAAATTCAAAGATCAGCCCGTCAAACGGCTTGCGATATATAAGAGTTATAGTTCGCCATGTTTCGCTTCAAAAACTCGATACAAGGCCCAAGAACCCGCTCGAATCGAGCCCGATCAAGTTTGACACAGTCGAGAGTCCCCACGGCTTTTACGGTGGCGGCGCGAGGCCGGTTCAGTAGGAGAGTGATCTCACCGAAATAGTTGTATTTTCCCAGTACAGATACCTCTACTTCTGTGTTATCTACGTTCTTTGTGACAGAAGCCCGCCCCTGGAAAGAGAGAGGTTTAATGTCGTTAAATATGTTCCCTTATTTATAAAAAGGTACGAAATTCAAACCACACCTCTTAAACATTTAGATGTGGTTGAGAGTGCAGTGATAGCCCTGGATAAAATACCCACATTTTGACACTCAGACCCTCCCGCCAATATATAACCTAATTATATTAGTGCACACTGTTTGGAAGCTTTCCTAGAGAGAGACACACACTTAACTGCTTAATAATGCACAATAATGACATTTGCGACCTTTGTCTAAATTTAATATGGGTCACCACACACAGCCAATTTAGGAAATGTATGCGATGCCTCGATTTCCTCTACTTCAGTGGTGCATTGTTAACATTGCTATCCATTTTGCTGCCTACATTTTATTTTGGATCGTTCTTCAGCTTGTTATATTTAGCTTTACGGTAACAGTGTATAACACTGCCAGCCAATATCTGGCATGGTATGTATAACACTGTACTGGCGTAATTGTTCGACGAATGTTTTTGTTGTATAGATAATTGGACCGTGAGTGGTATTGGTATGTGCGATCATAATTTGTTTATCATTATATGATCATCGTTTTTGTTTAAAGTAAGCACTAAGCATGTAGTATTTACAGTATTTGTCATGTTGTGCGATAAACACGGTATCACAGAGTTTGTACATCGTTTGGATATCAGCACGGTATTCCAATGTAATATTATACGGTCCAACCATCAAAAACCTTAAAAATGTGAAAATATTCATCTAGGAATGGTGCCATGATGTGTATAATACTGACATGATGTACACCAACTAAATTATCGTGATACCAAATAAACGGTGGTGAGCCCCCACAACGCTAGACCGTATGTTCCAATCAACCACAAGACTAATTACTAAAAACGTCCAGAACTAATAATACTCTGACACGGCTCGCTAATACTCCAAACTCGTTAGTTATCTCCAAACTATTTGGTCTCTTGATGTTTGTCCCGTGCGTTATCATGCCTTTTACGATCTCTCTTATTGGTAATAAACACCAATCACTTGTCAGATTTTCCCACACAGTTTTCAGTGAACAGAAACTGTCCGTTTAAGCTGGATATGTTGAAGCCGTCATCGTAAATTGGTCAAGAACGAGACAGTAGGTTGTGAGTTTAAAGTGATTCTTGTCAACGTCGACTGTCTTAAATGGCCTCAAAATTGGCTTGTCAGTTTTGTCGGAGTTTGTTAAATACTTGAGTAATTCAGTAGGATTGTAAAAACAAGGTTCGATCTCGGGTGAGTTATTTTTAGCTGTAACTTCAGACCGTTGCTTTAAGTCCCGTGTATCTATTTTAGAATCCGCCCCGATCTTAAAATAGAAGACCGTCTGGCGTCATCCGAGGAGGCTCTTAAACTAAGCTCTAATGTTACAAAATTCATTAGTTAATGTATTGAACGCATAGAAAGCATAGACATTTACTATTTAGTTCATTAGACGGCCTGCTATTTAAATCGCGGTGCGGATTCTAAAATAATCTCACGGGACTTTTCAACCGTCTGTACTTACGGCTAAAAATAACTCACCCGAGATCTAACTTTGCTTTGACAATCATACTGAATTACTCAAGCATAACCGTATAACGAAGCTTCTTTTCTTTCTAGAAGTTTCTTCATTGCAACAATTCAGTGAATATGGTGACATTTAGACAAGTAATTCATTCCGAAATTCTTTCCTCCGTCACAATTTGTAAATTGATACGCCCTTTCCAGTTACCATCGATGCATTATATTTAGCGGTATTAGTATTCCATGTTTACAAGTTTGTTTGTGCTAGATTCTTTCGCTTAAAATAGCTTAAAATGTCGTATGATCCAGGTTGATGAACTTGTGTGCGATATTGGTCGCAGGTCTCATCAGCAGAACGCTGTCACTAGAGTGCTACGACCAGCTCAAGTGCTACGGCCGCCAGTTTTACTCCCTTCAATATCTACTATGTGATCAGGCCTCAACAACACAATGCAGAGTCAGTTTCGATTACCCGGTCTGTTCAAAGAGGAAGGGCGATGCAGTGGACTGTTCTCCAGATTGGTTCCACAGCGAATGTTACTGCAGGGACCTCCGTGCTCATGAGAATTCAGCCACAGGAAGTGAGCGGTGTGTGTGCGTATTGGACAAGCGAGCTGTGGGAATTGTCGCTGGCTTGGGGGCGGCGGCGCTTATCTTTGCTGCTTTAACCTTGTTTTACAGCAAGAGGTTCAGCAACATGAAACGTGCAGCACGCACCGCTCAGGTGGAGATGCGTGTCCTGAACAGAATGCTGGAAACAAACAGAAACGGACTGGCAAGTATTCAGGAGCATGGTCTCGAGGAGAAGGGTGAAAGTCCGCCTCCCCAGTATCAGGAGCGAAATATTTACCAGGATGATATCCAAGGAGACAATGGTAACCAAGGCCAAGAAGACAGTGTTAACCAAGGAGACAATGTTAACCAAGATCAAGAAGATAACGGTATTTATCCAGATGAGAATATTTACAATGATTTGGATGACGCCAGTACAGTAGATCTGGCAGAAGCTTGTGTGGTTTGATTTTTAGCACAACCTTTTTTGTTGTGCTGTTATGCTGCTTTTAATTTAGAAAATTGTTGAAACTTTGCTTTTTTATTTTATATCTTTATTTTCGATGAAATCGACCGTGAAACCTCCCTTTTCATGTTGAAATAGCTGATGAATTCATGTTCGAAAAAGTTTGGACGGGAAAGCTGTTGCAAATAGATCAACAAGGATGTGTTTAACAGATGAGTTAATTGATTGTGTTTGCTAGATATATATTTTAAAAACTAATTTCGGGTTTCCTGACTAAAATTTTAAACATGTTAAAGCTAAAACCACAATATCTTGTCACTAACGAGATATATTTTAAAATTGATCTATTCGGACAGACTAAAATTAAAATTCTCACTTTGTTACGTACGGGAGAACCGAATTTTGACCAGTTCCCCGTCCTGAAAATAACTGTACTAAGACAAACCTCCATGATAATATAGAAATGGTCACCAGGATCGCCCTGTTTAACCACGATCTCCTGGTCTTGGAACGTTACACTTTCCAGAGCATCGGCTACTATCAGTCGCTCCCAATTATCTAGCGTTTCTGTTGCAGAAGTATCAATTAATGAGAGTCACATATTTATTTGATTTGATTGATCGAAAGTTTATTGAGTGGACTAGTTTCATTTCTTAAAATTGAAACAATTCGACCATGTTTTTAAGTATCAGTTGTGTCGTTCGGGACAGAACTAAAATAACGCTTACTTAATATAGAGACGTTCTTTAAGAACGATTCATACAGCTTCCGCTTTCTGATAGTGTTGGCCATCAAAATTTTACGGTAAGTATGACCATCGATCGCCCATAATTTTACATCTGTCTTTGCCTGAAAGAAGAGTAGGAACCGTTAATAATTTACATGGTGAACGAACGTTGTCTCGGTATATACTATATAGTTATTCGGATCACATGTTTAGGACTTAGGTACACTGACATGGTTAAGATGACGTTCCATTACTCTCACAAAAACACTAGAAATAAAACAGGAACAAAAATGACTTGTTCCATTGTTCCAGTGACGGACACCTACCCGAACTGTAGCGGCTCGAGGGCAACCGTGAATAAGCGCCAGTTCCCCGAAACTTCCACCCTCGCCCTGAGTTGACTGTAGAATGTTGTCTATGAAAATCTCTACTTCACCGTGGTTAATAACGTAGAAGTTGTCACCTTCGTCACCTGGCAAAGCATTTCATTATTCTTTAGCAACTCATTTTTCGTAGACAACGGCTTTTTTAGGCCTATCAGTTTCAATCTAGAATTTTGTTCCATATTATAATATGCAGCGCAATTCAAGCGCGCGCAAACTCGTAAAATTATTAACGCGCGTTCGTATTGCGCGCGAAATTAAAGGACTTTTCGATGTTACGGCGGTTTTTGCGCGCTACGTTTAAGTACATTAAGTCTTGTGACTGATTCTACGTCAAACTGCTCACGGACGATCTCCGTAATCTCATTATCATCTCCTCGTGGCCATTCAAGCGATGTATATGGCTCGTCACGATTCGAATTCAACAGGATTCGTTTCATTTACATTTTGCGTCACGGATCAACAATGCCTTAGCAATATTTGAGCATCTGGTCCGACATCTAGGAGACGACATTGTGCGTTGAATGGGAGACAAATCTATAGTCGATGTGGGCCTCAGTAGGGAGATATGTGGTAATATTCCCTATTCGATAATTGTCCAGCAACCAATCCATAAATAGATAAACACCAAATATTTGTTATTCGTACACTGCGTGCTACAACACAATCCGCAGTTACAAATTCCACTGGATAATCCGGATATGTTCTTTTTGGCTCTATGCCAAATAAATTGATCGTCCCATTAAAATCTACCACTTTTTGGACAAGATCTGCAAAATATCAACTGTTTTGAAATTTGATCGCACGACTGATCTGGTTATGACTTACCCGTTTTCTTGAGCATGAGATAGTAATAGTTCGGAGTTCGGAGCCTTGGCCTATGATCGCCTATAAATTGCAGTCTATAAAATTAGCACGAAAATAGAAAACGGTTAAGTTATACAGATATTAACTAAGCAACTAATATTCCAATAAACCATCTTCCTATTTATCCATTATCGAACTTTAATAATATAACCACTTTAGAAGTTTAACTGTTCCAATTTTTTACTCAGTGGCTGCTGAATCGTTCAAATTAAAAATAAATATCGAACAGCCAGCGTTACACGAATCAGTTAATCGGTCCGAAGCAACTATTTTAGCTATACCATATTAGCATAGATTATTAAATTATAGCACTTAATTACAACATTTCGGATCACAATAGGAAACTTACCTTGTGTTATGATATTCTCCCCAGGATTGAACCGCCGAAGAACCATCGCTTCAAATATATCGCTGAGAAAAATGAAATTGTTTACAGCACATTTGCGATTTTAATAAAAATAATCAATAAAAGTGGATTAATCACTAAGGTTACTACTTTTGGAAAAATGTGCTCCAACTCAAGTTCTATTACCTTTTATCGTTATCATCTAAGTGACACATCAACGCATTTTTCTCGATGGCCTTTAAAAGTGCTTGCGTAGTTTTGTAGTCTTTAGGTTCACCCTGAAAAGAATATTTCAACCACGTGATCTGAGATCAGCATGGTCACATGACCAAACAAAACAATAGCTCATAAGATTGAGTTCACGCAATACATCAATAATTCCTTTTTTGGGGAGACCTTGAACAAAGTCCACACATTCAAAAATTTCACATACTATTACTGTAAGCTGAATTGTAAGTTTTGTGAAAAAATTACGTCATTTTGCTGTTAAAAATTAAAATAAGATGCACATACAGGGCCCCACGTACAGCACTTAGTAAAACTGGTGCTACAAGCAACATAGATATCATACTCCCACAAGAATTTAGCAAGGAATTTTTGTATACATTTTTATAAATTTAAAATTTTGTTTAACCGTTAACTTACCCTTCTTTCAGTGTTACTATCAACGTCATCTTCGTTAATAGGAGCTGCGCTAACAGCGCCACGCCTCTGGGCTCTGGTCGAAATACCTGCATTGTCAATAATCAATTTAAGCTATCAATCAATTTAAGCTATTAGATCCACTGTGGAGACAGTTATAATATGTAAATGCGTTAAACTGCTAAATTGGATCGAGTTAAATGGTCGGTGTTTTATTTTCTACAGCCGTAAACTTGCCAAATAATCAATAAACTGTTTATCGTTAAAACCGTTCAATTACCATCATTTGTATAACTAATATTCATCAGAATATGGTAAACATTTTTAATTGAATTTACAAGTGCTCCTCAGATCCTCTCAGGTGGGTATTGGGTGATATTACAAAATAAAGTAACCTGTATTCCTGAGGTGGTAAGCGGCGGAGGGAGAGTGCTCTTCGGTACTTTCAGTTGACATCTGAGCTTGTATTGCTGTGGCTGAGGATGAACTTTGTGCTACTGGTTGACCCGGGGACGACAGATGCTCCTAAAATCGGGAAAAAGTTAAAGAAATGATTTCTTGTATTATAGATCTTAAAAACAAAATGTATAAAAATGTCAAATGTGCAGCAATTGGAAGTATGTGAGCTGTGCAGCAATTGGAAATATGTGAACTGTGCAGCTGGTTCAGCATGATTTCAAGCGCCATGACAAACTGCCAAGCAATGGCAAACTGCCAAGCAATGGCAAATTGTCCTTTGTTAAAAGCTTTATAGTGTCTTCCATGCATGTAAAGAATTTATGAAGCATATTCAATGAAAGTCGCGATTGACCTGGATTGTTGATCCAAAACGAAGTTTTAGAATTTAAGACGAAATGTTAACGTGGATAAATCAAGCATTTGATAAATAGATGTGAATGTATGTATGTGAGAAATTGACAGTCTCAATTGACTTCCAATCAATGCGTATTCAATATTTGCAGTGTTTATCTAATCACCAGCAAACATTTCATTCAAAATAATAGACGTTTGTATGTGACACTGTTGTTGTGACTTGTGCCTGGCATTTATCCAACCGCACTTTCCAGAATAATTAAATTCAATTATCCATTGCATAATTTCTAGAACAATCCCACATAGAAGAAATGGAGTACTAAACATATCTTTATTAAGTTCCGATTACGAATGAATATATTCTACCAATGTTATACAAATTTTATTGGAAGTTTAACAATTAACACTCATTCGTTCTCTGATTTTTGATACAGCTAGAACAATCCCACAAAGCCGGAACAGTCCCACACACCTAGAAAAACCAACAACAAAGCTTATCGTGCCTGGCATTTATCCATCCACAGGTTTTAAGGAAAAAACAACCGATGGCATCATACATAGACCATGAAATTTGCTGATAATTTGCCTTATCAACCACACCTTATCCATTAAATCAAGAAGAGGGGTAATAATATTACTGGGTATTACTCCTCTTATACACGATGGACAAATGCCAAAAATAATGCATAAATAATCCGAATGTTCAGATTAGACGAATCACGAAAATTTAAAACTACAAATTAACTGTAATCCTACTCTTTTCTTACATCTAAATTGTGATTTGCAGCTGACAAACATTTATTTTCTCTCGCTTTTTGAGGGCGTCTTCTCATGAATTATGACAATAAAAGTACCGGAACTTTAATGAATTTTGTGCCATAGTAAGCAGGGCACAGTGCCTCAGGGGGCATACATAATACGCTACCCCGTTAATAATACAGGGCAATAGCGTAGCACTTCATTTGGTACCAGGGTAAAGCGGTCACACGATCTAAAATAGTTGAGTCACGTGCAGACTGCTATAAAATGGATAGCATACGTAGGCACTATAGTTCCTCTGAAACCACCTACCACTATAATAATCAGCATTAAAAACCTCCCAAACCGCTTAAAGTTACGCAGTTCACGGTGCGTTTAATTTCAAATCAGACCTCCAAAGAGCTGCGTTTATAAAGTGGCGATGTGCGAGGGTTCGGCTAAACGATCTTCAGCTCCTTTTACCGGAGATGCAGGGATTGGGCACTTCAAAGTTCAAAGGATTTAAACTGCTTCACGACACCCAAACACAGCAGATTTACCCTTCAGCACAACATTAGATAAATTTGAAGAAATAGGACACATCTAATAGAATATGACGCAAACGATTTGACCAACATGGACAGAACGATATTGTGGCTACAGAAACATTCTTTGAGCGTGTAATCATGGTCTGCGAGACTGGATCAAAATAAATGGACTTGGACTAATATAAAGAGTTGTACGCATTACTGTTGAAGCGTCTACAATCTACATGGTACATAACAATACTTTTTGTGGTACATGTACGACATTTTAAAAGCATACGAAAAGACAGCGTCTTGACAATGAAACCCGGATGATTTATATAATGTACAACGCTGTAAATTTCCGGCTATAAGGGCAATTGAAAAGCGGATTACTAAACCAGCCTTCAATGCTACTAAAATTAAGATTTAAGAACAGTGAGGATAATCATAAAATCTATAAACGGGTGAGCAGGAAAAGAACATCAGGGCCGGATATAACTTCTAGCGTGTAATTTGGCCAACTATTAATATAACTTACTACGTCAATTTTTCACCCCAACATAGCGGAAACATGGCCCATATAATGGGCGTATGTGATTCTTTTGTAACTTTGTTTTGTGTGAATTTGGACAAACATTCTAGCATCTAATAAATTTACAATTACTTTAAACAGTTCTCAATTAGTCACGGCCATGTCACCAATTGCTTGTCCAAATTGACAGAGTTGCAACATTTAGTCAGGATACAATCATTGGCCACTCCATTTAAACATACCACGTCAAACAGAACGTGTTATACATTCCATTTTTTAAATTTAAACCATCTCCAGGATGACAAAAATGTGAATTCAATAAAAGCAATAGCTACTTAAATTGTATACTTTTGATACTAGTAATCAACATTCTTGATCCGTGTATCCTTGTGTCCTTGTATCAGTGTATGATGTATTCTTGTGCACTACATCCGATCGCACATTATATAATAAACAATCATCGCCTAGAATGAGTAGAAAGCAGTTTCCGAGCTTCCTATCGAGTCTTTCTGAGCTGCCAGATAAAATGTCACTATGTTTAACTAAGAAGATAGAAATTCAAACAAATGAGCGCAAAAACCGGCTTAGTAACCGGCTTAGTAATCTTTCAGACCACAGGTTGAACGGCATGGCAAAAAAATAAAACACAACTTTGCTGAGTAAAGATACAGTCTTCAGCAAACTTAACGTCGCATGGAGAGCAGTGATCCAGAAAATACGTTAATACTTAATTTGTTTGTAACTCACGAGACAAACAAATATCGTACCATTTACCATTTATATCCAAATGTTGCCAAGTGAAAATCTCCTACACAACCCTTAAACAACTCTCATTTAAAAGCGTTAATGTGCTTCGGTGGAGACGATATTAACAGGCAATATCTTAAACGGGTTGGCGCTATACTTTGACGTAGTTCAAAGCAAGTCTGGGTATTACAAGATCGAAAGTTTTGTAAACGATGTTGCAAATCCAGAAACAATCATTAAATCGGTTAAACCCTCGTTAAGCTTTTGCCAGTTATCTATTTTAATGGAAGATTGTACTCTTTCTTGGATGAGCAGGTCTTAACGTTATGTTGTAGTTAATTAGCTCTAAAAGAAATAGCGATTAAGTGAACTATCAAAATAATCGGGAAAACGCAGTCCACGAATTTCTGAAAGGTGCCGAACTTAACGAATTTTTGAATAGAATATAATATGGCGCAACGTACGGAATAATTCGGCAGCAATCATTGAGTTAATTGTTGAATGTAAAACTCCAAATTACTTGCTTGTTAAAATTGTATTATTTCTCTCGATTCATGTAACCTATGGTATAATTTGTCTCCATGGTCTAAATTGGTCGAAAATTAACTGACAAATTCTGCAGAACTTACGAAAGTAAGCCGATTTACTCGACTATTGCGTTAAGACTTTTAAACGAGAAGAAAAATCAAGGGAAATAACATTTTCATTAGCTTAGAGAAGACTCCCTACCATTTTAATTGCTACATCTTATCTATTATGTTGCTTCAGCGCATGCCACAAGCCGTGTCGTCCACGTGGGAGGTGGCCGAGGCCTGCCACTCTCCGGGTCTGTCAATAAGGGGGCTGACTGTCACCTCGATAAGTGGTGACTGCTGGCCTTCTGCAAACAAGTGACAGAGCTTGGCAAGTGGCAAATTCGAGACTCTTCTCACACCAGGGTACCATGGATTTTGGCAGGTTATATCTTACAGATAAAACCTCAATATTTTGGTGGCTTTGGTTTGTGAAATTGCGGGATACGTCCTAAACTTGTTCCAACATTTAGAAAAATTCTGCCATGAATTAGATAACGGTTTATTCTTTTGATTATCCTGATTAAATAATCGAAGAATTGAAACCTGAAAACACTTCTTTATACTGATCATACCAACAATATATTCTGGGTTCATCTTTGTTATTTTAGTTTTGTACTGAAATTATGTCGTGAGACTACTTGATTAACAAGATCATAACATTTGTCTGACTTTACAAAGCCCTACACGTACGTCCCTATCAAAAGAGTTTATGACGTCATCTGTAGAGCTGGCCTGACTATCAGGGAGATGCAGTGAGAACAGGAGTGGTCATCATGCAAACATGGTTCTGAAGAATCGGAGCTCACAGTTTCTAGTAAGCTTTTAATCAATTTAAATTGTAAATGTTAGTTGAATTAGTTATAACCTGGATAAGTTATTGGTTTGACTTTGTATTCAGTTTACAGCATTACTTTTTTATATTCATCTACATTATACAAGCACTGAAAATTTTCTTTGGTGACCAACAAGAAATTTAACAGCTATGCGAATAACAAGACAACAATTTTGATTATATGGAAAATCCTAAATTTTCAAAATAGTGATGACTTCGAATTTCTTTACAACTTTATTGCAGCAAGAAACCGGTATATTTATTTAGTAGCTCATCTGACCAAAATCAGGTAACTACAACTTTAGTAAACAGTTCGTTAGAAACACGTAAAGTTACAACAAAACGCACAGTCACACAGTGACAACACTACAACCCCAACAAGGAACTGCCATAGAATAGTGTGGAACATTTCAGTGAACCGCCACAGTAAGTGCGATTAGTATATAAAATAATATACGCCCAATTCCATTACCAATCGATGCAATCTGTGATATCTCTCTGTAAAATATATTACATTTAGAGCTATATCTTAGAGCGATAAATATCTGCCCTTGTCAAGATATGAGGTGTATTATACAGTAACACTCTAAACGATAAAGTATGAACCTTGGTGGCTGTCTTCACGGTTTAGATAGTTATGTCATTTAATGATCCAATAAAACAGTCCGCGGAGGCAAGACTTATAATGAACTTCCAGCGCTCCAAAGTCACTTTGTATTGTCTGAATGAACGGAGCGGAGTTACCGGTTACCAGTGTAGGTAACCAGTGTGGGTAACCAGTGTAGGTAACCAGTGTAGGTAACCAGTGTAGGTAACCAATTTATGTAACCAGTGTAGGTAACCAGTGTAGCTTAGGTAACCACGAGGTATTTTATATTTTTTATTCCTTATGACGTTAGAAATTACTTGGTTGAGTGAGAGGTATAATAGTGATAATCAACAAGTTTGCCCTAGGTTTTCTGTAAAGTAGCAACTGATTGAGATGAAATATTGAGCAGTCTAAATTGATAACTGTGTAACTTACAAACTAAAATATACACTTTGATAATACATCCTATCATGGGATAGGTTTCATGACTCATAATATAAGCTTGATAAGTTCTAGAAGAAGTAAGAACGCAAAACTAAGCGTGACGCAGAAAGCAGACGACTTCAGCTATCATAGTAGTGACGCAATCATAGTAGTGACGTCATAGTAGTGACGTATTAGTGACTTAGTAGTGACGCAAACAACAGAAAACAGCAGTCATTATAACAGAGAGGTCTAGAGGACGTCAGTTCGAGTGGAATGATCCAGTGCAGCGTAAACTCTAAACTACCCCGTTAAAATTTATGTAGATTGTAGGGCAATGAATAACAGATGAAATTCATATAATAGTGCTAGCTAACTCTAGGTTAAGTTGAGTAAACATCCTCTTGAAAAAGATAGGTAGTCCGACGAAAGACAGTCACACTACTAACTAAAACATCTGGCTTATTAGTTATTCGTGCTCATTTCTTGAGTCTCGGTTGGAATTCTTTCAAGGAATTTCTTATTATTTCTTATTACATTCAGTGATTTCTTTCATTATACAGGGTGGCCCATAAGTGACTACCCACACGCAACCTCTTAATAACTCACGTAATTCGTCTCCAAATTGCACCAAAATTTCAGAGATTATAGATATGGGTCAAACTTAGATTTCCTGAAAGTTTCGTAAGCCACGCCTAATTACAGTGGGCGTGGCGTGACACTCCCTCTTTTTCACTATTGTCTTCATAAAATGAGAACGCTTTAAGCTAAGAACTCAAAATTTTTTGCACACATTTGGCTTGATAATTGAAAACTTTTCCAAAAGTTTCAAGTTCATTGGTTAAAATATGGCTGAGTTATGACCATTTTAAAGTCCATCGGATATGTGATCCGAGCACTCAGTCAGTGATATTTGCACTCAATTAGTGATCTCGTCACCCAATCTGATCAAGAGTAAGGCGTTAGCGTGTATTAATAAGGTTCCTTAGGCTTTGATTGGATACCGATGATGACTTTGCTAGAAAGGGAAACACAAATTTTTAGGATAAAAACCAGATCGTGACCTTTTCAGGAAAAGGTGTTCTCTCCACCACTTCATCCGGTCTAGTAGAGCCCCAGTGAATTGCATTCTGGGAGTTGACATATCCGTTTATATGGCCTTGTCGCTGTACCAGATTACGTCCTCAAAGTAGGGATCCACATTCTGCTTGGACAGGAATGTGTTGGCGAAATCTATCCTCGATTGGAAATCACGGTCCAAAAGTTTGTGTTTCTTTGTGATTCGGTAGGCCCGGTTAGAAAGGTCTTGCTTTAGGATTCGCTGAAGGGTTCTGCTGATGTCTAAGGCAGGAGCTCGTTTCCGGGTGCCAATCTTAGGTGTGTCCATCACGTCACCAACAACCATCGTGATGTTTTCTACAGTCCTCGCAGTTCGTCTTCTGCCGACTCTCCGCCGATCGTGTGCAGAAAACGTAAACTTGATCTTGTGATGAATGTCAAAGCAGCTTTTCCGGCAAGGGGGTGGTCGGTTGAATTTAATCTGAAATTGTCGTTTAATCTGAGGGTAGAACTCCCCATTTTCTTTCCTCAGGTAGACGAACAATCGTTGTTCTGCAGTAAAGGGAGGATAGTGAACCATTTTCGATGATTCAATGGATGGTTCATTCCTTTTTATTGATTGTAAGGAACCTGTGACTAGCAGGGCTAACAAGCCCTGAAATGGTGACACCACCATAAATTCGTGTGATAGCGTTTTAGGTGCAGTCAGCTGTATAGGCCGGCCCATAAGCAGGCTGCAACCAATCAAGCGGTGCATGTGAGCCAAACAGGCCATTAACCAAGTGACGAGATCACTGACTGAGTGCTCGGATCACGTATCCGATGAGTTTTGAAATGGTCATAACTTAGCCATATTTTAACCAATGAACTTGAAACTTTTGGAAAAGTTTTCAATTATCAAGCCAAATGTGTGCAAAAAATTTTGAATTCTTAGCTTAAAGCGTTCTCATTTTATGAAGACAATAGTGAAAAAGAGGGAGTGTCACGCCACGCCCACTATAATTGGGCGTGGCTTACGAAACTTTCAGGAAATCTATGTTTGACCCATATCTATAATCTCTGAAATTTTGGTGCAATTTGGAGACGAATTACGTGAGTTATTAAGAGGTTGCGTGTGGGTAGTCACTTATGGGCCACCCTGTATATACACTGGGATAATCAGAAATTTACAAAAGTATTTTAGAAAGTAACTGAATACTGTTATGATATCTGGGTAAAGTTTCTGATAGCTGTAAATTGATTTTCCTCATATAATAGACCAACATGAGAAATATAAATACCAACCAAATACTTAATCGAAATTAAGATTATTGCAGACCATTAATTGCGACTGAGTGAACTGACTAACCATCGACCAATTTAATTATCAGCTTGCCGCTTGGGTTTTGAATTTTGGTTGAGCTTGGATATGTTCAAATTGAAGTGGATTAATGAGTCTGACTAAAAATTATAATAAATTCAAATTTTGGTAACCAGGGCTGGGTTTTGAAAAACTAAATTTATAGCCAAAACTGTGATAAATCTTAGAGCAAAATTATTTTAAGGATTACGAAAATCACATTTTAGCTCTGTTGGCTAGATGATGCTGAATTTTAACACACTTTATTTTCTACCGTGATGCGTAAAACCATTGCGATGTATCAAAGAAAAAAAAAGCAAACTTTTTTCAGTTTTACCGCCACAATCACCGTACCATAAGAGTCGTGACTATAAACATCACGGTGAATACCTATTACCTACAACAAGAACTTGAGTCCGCTGCCGTGTATCCTTAAACTTGCCACTAAACTAACCACTAAACTAACCACTAAACTAACCACTAAACTAACCACTAAACTAACCACTAAACTAACTACTAAACTAACCACTAAACTAACCACTAAACTAACCACTGAACTAACCACTAAACTAACCACTAAACTAACCACTAAACTAACCACTAAACTAACCACTAAACTAACCACTAAACTAACCACTAAACGAGACACAATCAGACGTACAAGGAAGTGTTTTGAGCTGCCAACAAAAGAAGCTCTCATCGTCGTGCTCAGCGTTAGAGCTGTGATAATCCAGCCGATAACGACCATCACGTGACCACCACGTGTTATGTTACGAGACACAACGCATTCAATATCTACGGTGGGATTAGTCGGCCAGGGGGGGTAATCAAAATATTGCTTGATATCAACTCTCTAGCGAAGGGGTGGGCTAGAGAGAGAAGCGTCCTGAAAATTAATGATGTGCACGAACGCTTCGGACAGCATACGATAATATCGTGTATGGGTTAACATTTACACACACACACATTGACACATACACACACACAGCTCTACACGTTGGGGTAATGTAATGAGGTATAGGGGGATGAAGATGAGTGACAGTTCGTCACTGTGACGTCACTGTGACGTGCTTGATTAGTGGAGATGATTAATTAAGAACGAAAATAATGAAACATGTGCTGCTCTGGGGTACAACTGCTCACCTCGTTTAGTCGGGCAAAGTACTCCGCAAAGAAAGCATAGGGGTTATCGGGTGAGTTGGTACACAAGGCCGCAACACAGTTCTTCAATATGCCCTGAAATGTTTATAACAATCAGTACTTGTTTGTGGAACTTTGCTAGGTTTCTTCTGCGCTTGTATGAGATATGATTAATTTTCACTGCGACTAGTAAATATAATGGCTTAAATTATTCTTTTGTCGTAAAATTAGCTCTGTACCCTCTCATAAATGATGAGCTGGGATAATAGGTTTTGTATTGTGCACTTAATTTGTCATGAATAAACCTCATTATGCATGGTATTTGTTTTGAGAAAATAAGCTAAACATATTCATTTATAATGGGTGATTTAATGATTTTAAGTGGCGTGACTATCAAATTTAAGTGTCGACGTTTATTTATTCATGATCAGTTTAGCACCCTACGCGCGTGGGGTGGACTCCTGGGGTGGACTTTTATTCAGCGCGTATTTTGTAGCCTGTTCAACTTGACGTTTTGAATCGTTACTATCTCAATGTCACAGATACACAGAATGTGAGGTGATCATCTTAAAGAGAAACGTCTCAGCTTTCACCTGGTGTAAAGTTTATCTTTGTTCTCAAAATATAGCTCGCTCAGTGTGCAACAGAAGTTGACATTACAATAACCACGTCCGCGACCGGTCGTCAGATACCGGAGTCTTGCACAAAATTGGGTCCCTAAATTAAAATTTTATGACACAGTTACGATGAACTAGTGTCTAGGGAAACATTTGGTGAAAATTTGAAGGGTCTACTGTTAATATTGCAAAAGTTATTGAAAACAAACTAGCTTAATCAGAAGTTTTTGGGAAAATTTCAAATTTTGTACGTAGTGGGGTGGACTCTCGTGACGCGCATCTGATGGCGTGGCTTTTTCAACAGCAGTCAGTACGGCCAATATCAGAGCACAAATTATTGTGAGTAAGACCTTAATGGTCAGCTATGAACCCCTCACTAGAATAGTAACCGTATCTAAAAACAAGGAAATGTTATTCCGTCAAAGCTCAAATTTTTTACTCTTCTCAGTGCAGTTACTATGAATGTACTAGCTAAGTATCGTTGATCGTAGCTGCATTACACAGTAGAAGGTAACCAATACAAGGAACAATATACAAGGAAGACTGCTGATTAACGAAGCAATTTCAACGTGAACAGTTCCAAAATACATAATCATGGCGACGATAGTTCAACTTGAACCTTTATAGTTTTTACAGTCTAAGATCACAATAAAATCACGTGAACTGCGAATCACAAAATCAAATCACTCAAATCTGATACAGTCCCGTTACAGTACGCTTTCGTGACAACCTCAACGCTTAAAAAATAAATATTCTGCAGTCTTGTGACCACCGATGGCCCTAACTCTCCCTTGTCCGCGAGGAGCATCGTTGCGACCATGGGTTTCAGTTCTTTGTTCTTCCCACTCGGCTTCGATAGATCGAATTGGCTGGAAGTCAATCTATCAGAAAGACCTTTGTCGATCTCAGGGGCGTGGTAAATTGTGGATGTCGGAGTATAAAGCTTCCTGAAAAGATTGAGACATTCACTCGGTCTGTTGTAAATATCGAATAGTCCTTGTAGGCAGAGATTTAATTTATGTTGGGTTTGATAACTAGAGAAGGCGATTTGATATTCATTGATAGTATAAGAGTATAAGCATATAAGCATAAGTGATAAGTTTATATACCCTTTTTATGGTACCTCGATATCAGTATTGAGTAATCATCACTCAAAATCTACTTATTAAATTTATTAACTAAACAAGTTAATGTATTACCGTCCTAGAGAGGTTTTCCTGAGAATTTGAAGTCTTTGTAGGTAGCTGACATGTCTACTAAGCTCTTCGATTGAGGAGTTTTGGACCCCTCGGCGGTCCAAATGATTTATAATGCTGTGGGCATTTTCAACATCTATCGAGCTAAACGCCCTCGCAGCATAACCTGTAGAGAATGAACATGTCATCAATGCAAAGTTCAATGATAAAAATCAGAGTGGCCGATTTCAACGGGCAGAATTCGAATATCATGGCCTTGGGGAATGGACTATTTTTTGTCGATTTTACTCACCAAACTGGCAAACGATTGTTGATTTTCGTCACTAGTCTAAAATGAAAGCAAACGTTCGGCCGAACATTTACATGATTAAAAACTTACCGCTTTCTTTCGTTATTATGTACAGACATAGCCGGGCTTGGGTTCCGCATAGATATCTTCTATCAGATTAAAGTTGAACCCACACTTTGTACTGCTCGTGGGAGGAGGAAAGCAAACTGATACCTTTTCCATGAGCATCTCGTGTAGTACCATCATCATTTCGATTCTGATATCAGCTGCAAAATTCGTCTATTACTAAATGCAAGCTTTTCGAACTTCGTATCTTGGAAATAACAACTTCTATGAAAGAACACACACACACACACACACACACACACACACACACACACACACACACACACACACACACACACACACACACACACACACACACACACACACACACACACACACACACACACACACACACACACATACACACACACACACACACACACACACACACACACACACACACACACACACAAACACACACACACACACACACAAACACACACACACACACACACAAACACACACACACACACACACACAAACACACACACACACACACACACACACACACACACACACACAGAGACGGACAGACAGACAGACAGACAGACAGACAGACAGATACACACACCCACAAACACATACAGACATAGACACACAGACACAGCATAAACACAGACACACACAGACACAGACGGACACACAGACAGACACAGATACACACAGATACACACAGACATACACACACACCCACAAACACACCCACAAACACACACAGACACATACACACACAGACACATACACACACACACACACACACACATAAACACACATAGTTCACTTCAGTACACTACATTACAATTACAGACACACGCAGTACAATCAGAGACACACACTCGATACAAAGACAGACACAGGCACAAACACACAGAGTACACTTCAGTACAATCACAGACGCAGGCACAAAGACACATACAAGAAGAGCAGATTGAAATACCTTCATTTGCAGATGTTGACGCATTGATCTGTGGGATATGTTCTTCAGTCTGTAACTGATCATCTGCTAGAACTGTCTCATCTGGATCAACCGGAGGAGTATCTTCCGGCAGGAGTCTGAGTGGGTCTCCAGTCTATCGGGACAGCCATGGATCGCTCTCCGTACCTTGCTGAAATAAAGACAAAGGTCAACGACGGGTGTCGCATGTCAGTCCTGTAACTAAATGTAATGCAAAATAGTGAATAAATAATTTTTACATCTGAACGATTGTTCATTGATTCTTTGAATCTGTTCATTGATTCAAAGAATCAATGAACAAAAGTTCAGGATTTTACCTTCTGTTAAGCTGTTAGCACTGACTCTAGCCCCCTCTCCCTACAAAACGACCATATCTCGGGCTGGAGCTTTCAACCGTCTTGCCTCAGCAGCCATCTAGCACAGTCGACCTGTCCTGTTAATTATGTGATCATCAAGTTACCAAATTTAATCCTTCAATATTCAAATAATTGATTATCAGACAAAACAGAGTTTAGAGCTCGACGTATGCTTCAGGGTTTCACACTGTGCTGTAATCAAACGCATGACTAAAACCTCTTGCTACTATTACCAATGTTAGATAAACCCATATTGTTAAGGCGGTCAAATGATTTACCTGAGTTGATCGCGTCCATGAAAGGGTTCAACTGCGCTCTGTCCAGCTTGTTAATGTCCGCTCCAGCAGCCAGCAGTGCCTCCGCCTCCGTCACTTTCCCTGCTTTGCATGGCCAGTGAAGCGTAGAGCTCCCCTCTAAGCTCTGTGACGATCCGACGAAGGATCCAGATTCCCTTCTTTTCTCTTGAGATTGCTTCAATTCTTCCTGGAGTATGCGGATTACCATTTTTATACTTCCATACAGGGCGCGTGAACAATCAGCAATGAATTATCAATTAATCAATCTAGTTTTTGAGTAAAAAGTCCACAGATTGTGATACATTGGATTTGATATTGGAAAAGACATGGCTTACCAAGTACCTTTTCATGTGCTTTTTGGAGGACAGGGATGACTTATTCCTGCGTGCCATTTCACCATAACTATCTGCTGTAACAGCAAAAATTAGAATTATGTCGGACATAATTCTAAAAAATTGGAACATTGTAGTTAATCAGTGTGGTGCTAACAACAGAGAGCGATTTGAACGGTAGGCAATTTCATAAATTTCATTAACTCGATATAAGGATGATTGGAACAGGCTAAAATCTACAATGTGGCATTAATAACTGGCTATATCGCTGCATTAAACGATTAAAGTATTGCTAACTATGGATATTCTAAGTGATCTAGGCAGAGGGGAACCGGCACAGCCAGATTGCGTTGTCTTCACTTTCAGTGACTAAGTTTCACGATAGAAAAATTGACCTTATGTATTTTTAAAAAAGGATGCACAGTTCAAGCAATAAATCGATCGGCTGCTCATATGATATTTGCATTTAAAGGAGGGCCTAGTGCAGTGACCAGTAAGTCTGTTAAGGCAAAGATAAGTGAGCTTCGAGAAAGTGCACACGGATAAAGTTATCAAGTGACAATGATAAGACTAAGTTAGGGTCAAGTCAACAGAATGGCAGCTGTAACAGAAACAGTTCATTGGATAGGGGAGTAGGGGATTATGACGGAGTGAAATTTATTTAGCAGGGCAAACAAAAAACAACTGACAGCACTGAGCAAGTGAACTGGAATATTGAGGAACGAAAATAACAGTGGTTGTCAGCCCTTTCCGTAGCAATCAGGATTTCCCACCAGATCGATCAGGCAATCAGGATTTCCCACGAGAATGTTCGAGCCAACGCGCGCACTTGTGTCACGTGACGGCCACGTGACGCTCTAATCGTTGTCACGTGGTACAGAAGGGAGGTTCCTAGAGCGTTGATCTCGACAAGAGGGAGTTTCTCACGGTTTATCTTCAATAACTATCGCTATTTTTATAGTAGAGAGTTGAAACTTTCACCAAATTTTTCCCTAGACACTAGTTCATCGTAACTGTGTCATAAAATTTTAATTTAGGGACCCAATTTTGTGCAAGACTCCGGTATCTGACGACCGGTCGCGGACGTGGTTATTGTAATGTCAACTTCTGTTGCACACTGAGCGAGCTATATTTTGAGAACAAAGATAAACTTTACACCAGGTGAAAGCTGAGACGTTTCTCTTTAAGATGATCACCTCACATTCTATGTATCTGTGACATTGAGATAGTAACGATTCAAAACGTCAAGTTGAACAGGCTACAAAATACGCGCTGAATAAAAGTCCACCCCAGGAGTCCACCCCACGCGCGTAGGGTGTTTAGGGAACTATTTTTTTACGTAGTCCGATGCCCAGTGGAATAAATTTTAAATATGACTAGGAATCCAGTTTCGGAAGAAAAAAAAGACTATATATTTTTCATCGGACTCCGATGTCTCAACTCTCAAAAACAGCAATTTTGAGAGATCAAGGTTTAATATACATATATAACCTGTTTACTGTTTAATGATTTTACAGCACAGTTACCGAAGTAATGAGTAAATGAGCCGACAAATCTAGGAGCCAAGAAAATTGACACAACTTATTATATAAAAACCTTGTGGATATGAAATTCTCACATTTCCAGCTATCACCCTCAAATGAAATATAATATCCAGTATTCGGCTCTTCGAATTTGTGCTTCAATGACTAGATTAACTTCCATATCTTACCTTGATATTGTGAGCCTCCACATACTGTTTCACTCGCACTAAAGGATCCTCATCCTCTTTGCTCATTCGAGCCATACTTTCTTTTTCCGAGTCTTCTTAATCAGCCATCCTAACAGGAGAAAAAGTGAATTTAATCGGATCCTAAGTTTTAAGATTTAAATGATTTTATTGCACATCAAGTACTTTGCAGTTTATTGGTTATAAACGTTTTAATTTCAAGTTTTGAAAGATTTGAATGAAGTGGAATTTTGAAAATATTTTATTTGAATCTAGGACACACCTACACTGGACCAGCGAATTTGTACTGATTGACATCATCTCAGCTATCTGACGTCAATAATAGCTCTCTACGATGGGCAGATATATCTCTTATTGATCTCTGATCGGAGGTCTATTTTAAAAGCTGTCTAATACTGATCACGTCATAATATCAAGGTTCTTAAATACGAACCACTCAAGCTCAATAAAAGCGCAATCTGGAATTGTATAATACAGGCTAGGTATTTAACGATTATGTTACATTTTACGACTAAGATTAGAAGATTGTCTGAGGAGGGGAGAGGAGGATGATCAAGTGCACGTCGTTGTGAAGATACTGGTATTATTAGGTATTCTCGTGTGCAGCATAACTTAAATAACTTAAATAAATCATATACATTCAGATGCAATCATGACCACTCGTTTAACTAATCACGTAACACATCTAACTCATACCTTTTTAAGGGTATTTGAGCTGTCATTTTCCCCCCAAAAATATCCGCATTACCAGTTCCAATGCTTCGTGGGGTGCCAACTGCCACTCGAGCGTTAAAATTGACCTCGTTGTAGCGAGGATTAAATTAGCGAGACAGGCCTCTAAATCGTGGTCTCTAAATTGAGATTGTCAAAGAGTACCACAGGTTGCTACCGAATTTATTAGGAATAGATTGGCAAGCTGATCTGAAGTATCCGTCATGACGTCATGATCAGGGAGGAGGGTAGGTATCTGATAAGACTCACTAATTAAACCTACTGACTGACATAGGTGAGTAGGTGAGTGGGATGGCCAGAAGTGGGATGGCCAGAAGTGGGATGGCCAGAAGTGGGATGGCCAGAAGTGGGATGGCCAGGAGCCTCGTTTTGTGATTCGAAATAACGTAAAGATACTTTAAAATCAATTCGAGAAGATCATAGCTGTCTGATCGGATATGAGATCATTAAAACTCAATTTAAACTAAATCAAACAGTCTTTCATTTATTGTATGTTAAAAAACTGGAAACAAAAAACACAAGATAAAATATATCATCATCTAGATTCTAGGAAAAGGGTCGCTAATAACTTAAATCAGTTTAAGTGCTCGAGGCTACATTGGAATCATCATAATTCTTGACCTCTGCCTCGAGTAAACAATTATCTATATAATTGTAGATAATGTATCTATACTACTAACACGAAAACTGAAATCCGATGCCGACAAAGACATAATCATTAGAAAAATATTTACACTGTATCTCGAAAAAATGTAATAAGAACCTCGTACAAATCTTCATCCAACATAACAGTTTCACAGTTATCTGACAAAAATATGACCGAACGAGAAGTAGCTCCAAATCCCAACAACTTATAGTGAATTTAAAGGTCACGGAATAATATCGTGAAGATATTTATATAAATATATAATATAAATATCGTGACAAGAAATAAAGCCACCAATATTTCACGGTAAAGTCGTCACGGAGAGTTCGTGGGTGGTCTACTACCGAGTCAGACACATTGCTCTCTCTCTCCCTCTAGCTCTCTAGAGAGATAGAGAGCTGGTTGAGTTGCTATCTCGTTAAAATCAACTCCGCCGTATTTTATTTTACTAATAATATACACAACGTATGATTGCAAATATAACTTAAGTTCAGGTTAAAAACTTTGTTTTGACTGGATAATATATGGTAATGTTCTGCGCCGCGCTTGGGAGTTATTTCCTAGTAGGTAAGTTTACGGACAATGAAATGGTTAACAACCTAGGGTCCACGAAACTATAATTTGGATTTTATTTCTATGAAATATTTATTCCCATAATGGTTGAGGATCTTTGACCTTAGGATGCCGAAAATAATCTTTCCAAGGAAACTTGCAAAAATCGTTACATTGCAACGAAGTTCCGATAATAGGGTATATTCTCTGTTTTATAGCGAACTCTACCGTGGTTCTTACTTGTATGGTTATGATCATCAAATCAATCGTCAATCTTACTTAAGCCAGAAATTCTACCAAAGATCACCGGACACTGAATTTGGCATGTTGCCCACTTAGTCGGTGATTATGTAATCTTACATTCCAGCTAGGACTACCCACAACCAGTTACCCGTAGGGATATCAGTGGTGATCGTGATATTATAATTCCAAGGGCATATTAAGGCAAAAGCAAGCTCGATATTACATGTACTTAAAATCCAATCATGATATTTTTCATTTGAGTTATGCGATATATGCAATCATAACATTTTATAATCCTTATGTTCTGGCAGATCCAACGTAGGCCATACTACGCGAACATATTATTATATATGTTGTTATTACGGGTATTTAATAGCTGGTGAAAGATCTAAAACATCAGATGACAGTAGAAAATAATTTAAATAAAAAAGGAACTCTCAGTTTCTCAACGGTCATAAACTTGAACAGAAAACTATCCGTTAGAAGTCACGCTTGGCAGGGTGCCAAGAAATTAAATAAATTAGAACATGTCTGTCTGAGTCCTGACTATCTCTAATTGGTTTAATAATGGTTGGTGTTAAAGAGGTATGAACGTTTCTTGACCTCCTCGTAAACCAGCCAGGCTGTCGCGGATACAAGAGTTCTCCGAGCCAGACGCGGTGCAAATCCGGAGTAGAATCCAGAGATACCCGCTTCCTATCGAGCAAGGGGTTATCAATTAATTATTTCATTAAGTCGTGTAGTGTTACTGTTATTGAGTTACATATAATATTGATGTTTCTTTCTAGAGAATTTCTGATATCTTCTGAATAGATTCAGTGATGTCATCATTGAGTCTATTCAGAAGAAATCAGAAATTCTGGACAGAAAGAATTTATTATTTGGGTTTTATTATAACAGATACTAGCGATATGTGCCGACAAAGTTCAATTAGAAATTTGATATTAGAATTTATCATACAACAATTTAAATATCTACGAATAGTTCTCACAGGGTATACAACAGGAAGATCCAAATGCTTAGCCCGATTCACCGTTTTCGTTAACACGTACGTTAATAAATACCACAGTTACAGTAAACATACCATAGTTACAGTAAACATACCTTAGTTACAGTAAACATACCATAGTTACAGTAAACATACCATAGTTACAGTAAACATACCATAGTTACAGTAAACATACCATAGTTACAGTAAACATACCTTGTAAAGTGCAGGTATGATTTTGTTGAGTCCAACACGCTGGGTCAAGTTGTTCTGTAGTTGGACACGTGTCTTGATAACATCAGCTGGGTGAGTTATGAGAGAGGAGAGAGACCCGGCTGCTAGCCCTGATATAGTCGTACTGACCACGCTATCTGATAATAATAATATGTCCGATAATGATAATATGAGACGGAGTATTGGTGCTGGATCTAGAAATTCGAGCTGATAATGCAGAAATTGGGCGCAGGCCTTGAAATTAGATATTTTTAACATGACCTTTTACACTTTTTATTTTTTCTAAAAAAGATACGTATTTGAAAATTACATATCGAAATTATAATTCATAGAGTTTTATGATGAAGTGTAGTTGAAGAAGTGTTTGCACAAGACCAAGGTATTGTTTTATAATGTTCTCACGACGTTATATCCCCGAAAAGTAGAGAACACTCGGTATTGATAATTGTACGTGTTTCTTGTTGTTTGTTTTATTGTACGCGTGTCTTGAGGATATGTTATCAAACGTCTCTTGAGTCGCCATGATGTCGCCTTGACGAGCACCACGTATCACATAACTATATTATTTCATATATTACGAAACCATCGTAAAATATAAGAAATAATATATCTTGACTTAATTTCATGCAGCGCGAGACGTCAATTACGTTCGGTCAGTATCGCGCACAGCATTCAATCGCCAAGGAATTATGCCATTACGGTATGTATCATGAAGTCGACACATTGAATCGATGATAATAATATGTAAGTGTAACGAGTTTATGAGCAATGAGACACGAGCAATAGATAATTATATATTTACATATTGATGCTTTTCAAAGAAAGTTACAACGAATTCTTCATGTAGTGCATCCTGGGTTTGGACAGGATATGCCCGTTTAAAATATTTCCATCACATTACATTACATAATTCTCAATAAATGTAATAGATTTGTAGTGTTATAATTAGTTTAAACCTAATATATTTACATATAATATTTGTATTCACGGCTATAGTTTTCACTGAATTAAACAGCTCTTAATGACAACTTTTTCATTCCCTCGGCATCTGTTTTATTTGGTCGACAAAGAGTTACGTAATGCTTTAATCGCTATTAAATATTAATGTACTGGCAACTAAATGATCGCTTTACCATTCAACTATTCAAATATGCTATTTAATTCCTTCGCTCAGATCATAGAATTATATTAGTGACAACCGCATAAAACGCTAAACTGAAAAATTGAAAATGTCAAACAAATGAAAATGGATCTGTTTTAAGATCCAGTTTCGTGGGTGTTAACTGTAAAGATGCAAACTAATTTCAAATTTTGAACTATTTAAAAGCAATCGTTCATAATACCTCCTAAGAACTTGATGCAAAGTCCCTTTTGTAATATTTGACAAACTAAGTCACCTCACTCACCCCTCAACTGTCTTAAAGTCTTTATCAAATTATGAAATTCTACCGGCAAATTGAAATGTCTTCTACCACGTAAACGGGGTAATATGTTAAGGGCCTGTTATTGAGGGGGCAAGCAAATTTGGTTTTCTCAGAAACGATGTTGAGCAATGAGCATGGTGCTGATATGTAAGCTGCAGGGGCCGGGGAGAGGGGTAGAGGGGGGAGGGGCGCAGCTTGATAAGGACAAACACATGAAAACAGCGTCTCAAATATAAATAGTCTGTCTGATGAAGCAAAGTTATACTTAATAGACTTTCTGGTATTAATAAACGTCAATTGCGGTTGAAATTTTAGCGTGAGGCTGGGAAGCAACAGAAAATTTTTACGGAACCCGATTTGCCGAGATTTTGGGCCGGAATGATCAACTTACTTTGACTTACTTGCATTAATAAATACATTTTAACCATAACACAAATATAACATATGAGAAAGAGTCACAATCATCACTGATAGGCGTCATTTTCATATTTACTGTCCTAAAATATCCTCAAGTACAACTTGATAATTGTATGGCCACTCGCCCACTTACTTTAGAGGAGACTGCCCCAATCTCCCAACCCCCCTCCCCCCTCTCCTGCCGCTGTTAAGATGAGCGATTTTACATTACACAACTCACCGCTAAGCTAACACAAAAAATAACAGGAAAACTAAGCTATTGATATACTGAGTAGTGAGTACTAAGCATCGGGAGGCGAGCAGCCGATGTAATCCAATACGCTGTCTTCCCAATTAATTAAATAATAATGGGTGTTTGATATGGTGTTACTTACTTTTGTTTCAACACAAAGCTATTGAAATACGACACTAGTGTTGCGTGAGATGAACTGAACTGAAACCCCTGGTCCCGTGCCAGCCCCTAACAAGCTGATTGTTCCGCTATTTGATATAACATGTGTGTAGGAACCACGGTTACGGTGGTTACCACGGTTACGGTGGTTACCACGGTTACGGTGGTTACCACGGTTACGGTGGTTACCACGGTTACGGTGGTTACCACGGTTACGACGGTTACGGTGGTTACCACGGTTACGGTGGTTACCACGGTTACGACGGTTACGGTGGTTACCACGGTTACGGTGGTTACGACGGTTACGGTGGTTACCACGGTTACGGTGGTTACCACGGTTACGGTGGTTACCACGGTTACGGTGGTTACCACGGTTACGGTGGTTACCACGGTTACGGTGGTTACCACGGTTACGGTGGTTACCACGGTTACGGTGGTTACCACGGTTACGGTGGTTACCACGGTTACAGTGGTTACCACGGTTACGGTGGTTACCACGGTTACGGTGGTTACCACGGTTACGGTGGTTACCACGGTTACTGTGGTTACCACGGTTACGGTGGTTACCACGGTTACGGTGGTTACCACGGTTACGGTGGTTACCACGGTTACGGTGGTTACCACGGTTACGGTGGTTACCACGGTTACGGTGGTTACCACGGTTACCACTAGTTACGACTAGTTTTAGTGAGTAGACAGGGATCAGAATGTGTGTGTAATAAAATAACTCATGTTACACAGCAGACTGTAATACTTAATTAATAAGGGTATAGTTTGCAATACCAGGGTTTCACTGAAGTGACTATATCCAGCTACACTGACAATACCTTACAGTTTGTTTAAGCTTTATGCAACAGTTACCTGATCCAGAAAATGCATTCTTCTTGAGATGGGTGTACACAGCGAGGTAGATGCCTGAGAAGGGCGCGTCACGTGCAATAGTTGCACCCAGTCCCCGGTATAGACCCTGCAGCTTTTCTTGGGCCACGATAGCTCGGACTGCTCCGTGGATACTTTTGTAGCCGAACTTTCCACTCTGCAACGTTTTAGTAGGTTAGTTTGAGTTTAAATTTTTTTAAACAAGACGAAAAATTTGATGAAATCTTAATGTTGAATATTGAAATTCTACCGAATCTATTAAGAATAAAAGCGAAAATTTAGATTCAATTTGTAGCTTTATAGGGTGAGACTGATAACTATTATAACATGATTTCATCTATAATAAGTCAATAAAGCTTAAGTAAAAACATTATTTTGACCAAGCCACATACATAAAATTGGACCATAATAGAAAGTATCGTTACAAGGAATTATGCTATTTTACTTTTAAAGTGCTGCATACCTCATATCGAGTTTTAATAAGAGTTAGAGGTTGAACAAAGATGACAGTTATTGTTCTTGAAGTGGCGCCTATCATCACGGCAGAGGATGGTCCTACATCTGCACCAAACATCTCTTTTATCTGAGAAAATATTGACCATACATAAAACAAATAACCAATAACTGAACAAGTTGTGATTTACATGCTATACATAGAGACAAAGATTTAAACAAAAGAAAAATAAAGCCACTGTTGTTGCATGAAGGGTTAAATGCAGATTACAGGAGTGTAGGAAGAATTCATTCCTTAAGACAAATTTCGTTATATTGAAACTGTGTTTGAAAATGATCTCTATTGCCAAATTGCTCAGCTAGGCTTTTTACACTTGCAAAATCATCAAAAAAACTTCGCCATTAGTATCCATTTGCCAAAAGAATTTGGACAAGATGCAGCCTTTGCTCACACCATCCTGCTGTAAACTTTAAATTTTTTACAGGCATGGTATGGTTGACACTGAAAGTTTTACTGTTTTTGAAATTCAGGCTGTGGCCAAAGCGTGTGCTAAATTTTAAAAACTCTAACATTTTGGCCCCCTCACGAAGAAAATCATTCCTACACCCCTGGACCCTGGTTAAATGAGACAGAGAATTGATTAAAGATGATTAAAGATAAGTAAAAGCATTCAAGATCCAAAATAAACCTCTCCAATTGCTTCCTGAGCTGAACCAAACGATGGGGGGTTAGTACTCAATCATTCAGTGAACCTTCCAATGGATCAAAAAATAACTCGAATATATGGTGGCATGTCCACCGGACCTGAGACAAAGTTACAAAGTAGCAGGCAACTCCAGGAATCGTCTTCGCAAGAGAAGGCCTAAGACCAATCCACCATGATCGTTGTACTAATCCTTTATAGAGTTGAGCTTTGCTTGAAAACAACCCATGCCCTCTGAAAATGTTAATTGCATGTTATAAATGCCTGTACATCCCTGCCACTTTAGTGGCCTGTCTTTTCCTTGAATTAAGTAGTCTTGGACAGAATGTGATGCACGAAAAGGGCTTTATTTTAAGTAGTATTATATTGCCACTCTTTGTATTTATAAAATTGGCAAAAAATTACAAATTCCATAGTTTCATTGAAAATTTACTTTTTAATTGGTGTCATATCTAGGACATAGTATGGCATTGTCATAAAGGTTTTAAAATTTAGAAACCTACCTTGGAGAACTTTTATTTGCCTGTAGTTGTGTTTTGATGAAATCCAGAGGCTGGAAAAGGACAGTACAGATGAGCCCACTGGTTGCTCCACCAACAAGAGAAACGATTGCGCTCTGAAAATGGATATATATGATGATTGATGACAAATTGTTACATTGTTTACATTTATTTTGAGCTCGAAATTTAAAACTGTTAGTTGACTAAAATCAGTGGTAGTATCTTTGAACTACAATTAATTAAAGAAAGCATTCGGCTCAGTTTTTTAAATACTTCAGTAGCCATGTTGTTATAGTCTGCTACAAAGAGTCTTTCAGTTGTTGGATCTGTATGAAGATACAGTATCTAGATACTAGATACAGGTTGGAGGTCAAGTTGGGTAGTAGACTACCACTGGAGCCTTTAGGCTAAAAATATATACAATTGGTTATTCAAAATGAATTACATCATATTTTCAAGATTTATAAATTCAGTCAAACAATAATTTCAATTTCATGCCATTTATCGCAGTCAAAACTAGATTAAAAACAATTTAAAGGATCCCTAACGTAGTTTTAACTTTAAAGCTATTTTAGATAATTTCATCCTAAGACGATGTATGTTCTAGTAAGGCAGTAAGAACTGCATCCTGTTAAATATCAAATGGCACCTATCTTAGGGGGAGTCATATTGTCGATTAGGGACAATTTTGTTTAAATAGCAAAATGTAGTACTAGCAAAATTGCATGTTTTGCTCTAGATATACATTATTTTCGAAGTCTTCTCTTCAAATTCTCTAAAAGGGGGGGGGGGGGGGGGATCATGTTATTTTTTGTCCGTTTTTGTCCGTTTTTGTCCGTTAATTTTTGTCCGTTTTGAAAATATAGCTGCCAAACGGATAAAAACGGACAAAAACGGACAAAAATTGTAACTTTTGATTTAAATTTTCTCCACAATTTGCAACAGGCTATCTGCAGAAATGGGTAGCCCGGTTAATGACCATGGTCCTTTCTCAAACTTTTAATCCTCAATTAGGCACAAAGACTAGTCTACACATTTTTTAATAACATAAAAAGGGATGAAAAGTTTTATTACTGGCGAGTAAAACTTTGTTAAACACAAAGATTCTTGAGCACATTTTGAGTCAGACTCAAATGCGTTTAAAAACATTTTAGTATATAACAATAAATTATGTAAACAATAACACCAACAATAATTATAAATTGAACAGCAATAGCAGCAAATCTGGGGAAACTTGGTGGACATTGACTTTTTTCACAAAATTTGTGTATGTTGACTTCAACATGATTTTGCAGCTTATTGTGGTTAATCTCAATGTTGGAGTGATGTTTTTCTGGTGCACAAAACACTGCAGTACAGTTATGTTGAATAATTGAGGTTAATGAATCCTCTATGTGGCCACTATGGTGGTTAAAATACCAGTTTTAGGGTAAACCACCATTTTGAGATATGATATTATGAAATGAGTAGTCATTATATTGAGATCATCCCATGGTGCAACTATTACAAAAGTTTAAAACCCTCATTGGGGGCATTTTGTGGTCCTAATGGTGGTTAAATGGAAGATGAACGATGAGCAATAAATATTGCTCTGGTTATAATGTATAGTGGTGGTTGTTCATTTGTACATGGATGATAATTTTTCATCACAAATGTGCAATTTAATAGTATGGTTAATTTTAGGTGGTTAATATTCGTAAAATGTGCTAAAAAGATGGTTAAAACGTCAAAATATTTTGTTAACCACCAATCAAAACAATATTAATGCTTTTAGTCAACTTTTTCTGGTCAACAAAGGACATTTGAAGGGTTTTGATAAAAGTTATCAAGAAATGTTGTCATAACAGTGGTTAAAAGGGCTATATGACTTGCTAGGCTGTTGAACAAGGCATCTATTAAAGTGAAAATTAACCACAATATGAAGTTCGGATAATGGTTTGCTATCCAATTGAGTGTATAATTGTTTGCAAATCCATAATTTTGACCCCAAGTTCATGCATTATGATCAATGTGCAGCTATGGTGGTTAAAATGTCTCGAAAATACCCTATATTTGCTCTAATTAACCATTTTTAGAGCACATATTAGCTTTGTAAAGCTATAGCTGGCCATGCTGCATTATCTAGATATAACTACCAGCTCATCTATGTGCACAAAAACATTGCTGAGTCCTTTGTTGCGTCCAGCATGGTTAATAAAGGTCTAAAATTGACCTAAATCAGTGTTTTTGGTCGTTTTAACCGCCATACGGCCACACATTCTGTTGCATTATCTTTAAAATCACTTATTATCCTTCAGCTATCTCTCATAATCAAATATCAAAACAAAATAGGGCACAAAAAGTTCGGAGGTTGCTGAATAATGGTTAATTTGTGATGGCTTCTGTTGACCGAAAGTCCAAAATAAACATGTTTTAACCACATTGAGGCCACATCTAAGGTTTTATGGTATTGGGACCATAGCCAAAAGTTTTGGGCACCTGGATGGTGTCCTCTGCCTCTGAAATTATAGTGATATTTCAATGCTGTGCCATACCAGGTGGTTAAGTACGCGCAAGCGCGCGCGCACGCGTACAAACATGGTTTTTTTGATATACCACAGTTGGTGGTTAACTGTTCTACATCAGACCTTCACTAAAAGTATTGGGCACCATAGTGGTGACATAATATATAAAGAATTTAAGCATAGACTAAATATGTTGGCCTACAGATGGTTAAGTACGCACAAGCGCGCGCGCACGCGTACACTATAACATAAACAAATAAACCACTCCACAGACCACATTTATTAATTTTTTTTATTTCCTTCTTCAACTATGTGTCAATGAACCATTTTTGTTTAATAATGACCATCAATTTTAACTGTACTACTCATATCTTCACTGTAGTAAGGGTTTGGGTGTAAGAGGTATAAAAAATGTCCACTAACAAATCAGTCATTTTTCGACGACTTAACCACCTAACTCAGCACCAAAATGTTCTGAGATTTTTTTCGTTGCACTATCATAAAGCTATGACATTTTTGAACCTATGTAAATATTCAGATTACTAGAATTCATATTCTGCGATTTTTAAGGGGTGGTTAAGTGCTTCAAAGTGGTGTATTTCAAAGTTTCCCCAGATTTGCTGCTATTGCTGTGAACAAATTATTGAGAGATGAAAGAGAGGAAGAGGAGGAGGGGGGACTGAGGAGGGGGACTGAGGAGGAAGAGGAGGGGGGCTGAGGAGGAGTGAGACTGAGAAGGAGAACTGAGGAGGAGGAATGAATAGGAGGAGAAGAAGGACTCAAGAGGAGGACTGAGGAGGAGGAGGACTAAGGAGAAGGATGAGGAGGAGGACCCAAGAGGAGGAGGACCCAGGAAAAGGCCCCATGAGGAGGACTGGGGAGGAGGAGGACTGATGAGGACTGATTTGGACTGATAAAGAGGACTAAGGACGAGGAGGAGGAGGAGGAGAAGGACTGAGGAGTGAGGAGGAGGACTGATGAGGAGAAGGAGGTGTATGAGGAGGATGAGGAGGATAAAGGAGATGAAGTGTGAGGATAAGGAGAACTGAGGAGGAGGACTGGTGAAGAGGACTGATGAGGAGGAGGACTGAGAAGTAGGAGTAGGAGGACTGAGGAGGGGGGACTTAGGAGGAAGAGGAGGATTGAGGAGGAGGAGGACTGAGGAGTAGAAGGAGGAATAGGACTGAAGAGGATCAGGAGGACCCAGGAGGAGGAGGAAGAGGAGGAGGACTGAAGAGGAGAAGGAGGACCCAGGAGGAGGAACCAGGAAGAAGAGGAGGAGGAGGACTGAGAAGGAGGACTGAGAAGGAGAAGGAGGACTGATGAGGAGGATGAGGATGAGGAGGAGGGTGACTGGGGGAGGACTGAGGAGGAGGAGGAAGACTGAGGAGGAGGAAGAGGAGAAGGACTGAGGAGGAGAAGGACTGAGGAGGAGGACCCAGGAGGAGGAGGACCCAGGAAAAGGCCCCAGGAGGAGGAGGATGACTGGGGAGAAGGAGGACTGATGAGGACTGATGACGAGGTCTGAGGACGAGGAGGAGGAAGTGGATGAAGAGGATGAGGACTGAGGAGGATGAGGACTGAGGAGGAGGACTGGTGAGGAGAAGGAAGAGGACCCAGGAGGAGAAGGAGGAGGAGGAGGATAACTGAGGAGGAGGAGAAGGACTGAGGAGGAGAAGAGGGATCCAGGAGGAGAACCCAGGAGGAGGAGAAGGAGGACTGAGGAGGAGGACTAAGGAGAAGGAGGACTGATGAGGAGGATGAGGATGAGGAGGAGGGTGACTGGGGGGAGGACTGAGGAGGAGGGTGACTGGGGGAGGACTGAGGAGGATGAGGAAGACTGAGGAGGAGGAGGAAGAGGAGAAGGACTGAGGAGGAGAACGACTGAGGAGGAGAACGACTGAGGAGGAGAAGCAGGAGGCTGAGGACCCAGGAGGAGGAGGACCCAGGAGGAGGACCCAATAAAAGGCCCCAGGAGGAGGAGGAAGAGGAGGAGAACTGGGGAGGAGGAGGACTGTTAAGGACGAAGGAGGATAACTGAGGAGGACTGAGGAGGAGGAGGACTGAGGAGGAGGAGGACTGAGAAGGAGGAGGACTGAGGAGGACTGAGGAGAAGGAGGAGGAGGAGGAGTGAATAGGAGGAGGAGGGGGACTGGGGAGGACTGAAGAGGAGGAGGACTGAGGAGAAGGATGAGGAGGAGAACTGAGAAGGAGGACTGAGCTGAGGAGGAGGACTGAGGACTGAGGAGGAAGAGGAGGAGGATAAAGAGGAGGTGGACCCAGGAGGAGGAGGTCCCAGGAGGAGGAATCAGGAGGAGGAGGATGACTGAGGATGACTGAGGATGACTGAGGATGACTGAGGAGGAAGACTGAGGAGGAGGAGGACTGAGAAGGAGGACTGAGGAGGATGACTGAGGAGGAGGAGGAGGAGGAGTGCATAGGAGGAGGAGGGGGACTGGGGAGGACTGAAGAGGAGGAGGACTGAAGAGAAGGATGAGGAGGAGGACTGAGAAGGAGGACTGAGCTGAGGAGGAGGACTGAGGACTGAGGAGGAAGAGGAGGTGGATGAAGAGGAGGTGGACCCAGGAGGAGGAGGTCCCAGGAGGAGGACTCAGGAGGAGGAGGAGGATGACTGAGGAGGACTGAGGAGGAGGCATCTAAATGTTATTTCCATTTTTGTAATTTTTTGTCCGTTTTTGTCCGCTCTATTTTTTGTCCGTTTTGAAAATATAGGGTTCCGAACGGAAAAAACATGATCCCCCCCCCCAGGAGGAGGAGGAGGAGAAGGAGTACTGAGGAGGATGGCTGAGGAGGATGGCTGAGGAGGATGACTGAGGAGGATGACTGAGAGGGAGGAGGAGGAGGACTGAGGAGGAGGACTGAGGAGGAGGACTGAGGAGGAGGACTCATGAG